CCAGCCACCTGAGTTAATCGCCCGGGGTCGACTTTAAAAAAGTTTTAAAAAGTGGGCGATTTCTTTCTGGGTGGAAAGGACGAAAAATGAAATGAACAACATGGTACATTAATAATACATTTCCGAGCTCCGAAAAACAAGACGAAACAAACAAAAAAAAATAATAGAAGCGACGTATTAAAACTTATTTTCCCTAAACTCGGACTTTATTGAAACTTTCCAGCTTCATGTTGTATAAAAAAAAGCTTATTTGTAAAAGATTGTTTTGTACGTTGTACGTCATTTCGGAACGTAATTACTGTCTTTCATTATAAAAATATATTCGTTTTTTTCTCTGATATTGAAATATTACATTAATATTAAATCTTGTATTGCTGGTGCAAAACAAGACTCGCAATAGCAGTAACTATTTGATTATGAACTTCAAATCATTGCTAAGAGATGGTGTAAGTTTTGATTGGACTGAATCAACATACGCTTTCTCGGAAGTTTAGGATACTCTAAGACCAGCAAAGACATTATGTAGTTAGCTGACATTATTCCCCTGGTATGGCCACTTAAACACTTAATAAACTAAATTTGTAACGGGCACTGATAGTTGCATAATAAATAAGTTTTCAGTTTAATCAAGTGAACGAAACTTGTTTTAAAGTCTTATGTATTTTGACTTTTCTTGTGATAACGTGGTTAGTTATGAAAACTTGTAAATGCTTATTGCTAACATTGCAATTATTTACTATAATATATACATTGGAATACCTCATTATAATAAGAAGCATAGCCTTAAATATCATAAAAGATTAATCTAATATTAAAAATACGGAAGTTTGCATTTTAAAATGTAATTGATAATATTTAAAATTTTCATCAAACGATGAATAACTTTTATACAGTAAATTCGAATGGAATGTTAAAACATAGAGTATAAATAAAAGAAATGCGAAATAACAAGCGAGCTTGTTAGTCGGAGGGAATCAAAACATTGAAGGAGCTATAGAGAACACAAGAAAAGTAAATACCGAAATATCAGGTATAAATAAAAAAGAGGTGTATTCCAGTCTAGGAGGCTGCAGGCAATTCCCCGAATACTGGTGGCCTCGAAGAGGGAGATCACAGGGGAATAACAGAATTGATGTTGGATGTAAATAAAATTGAGAATAATAAAAAGTAAACATGGAGAAGAAAGGAATGGACAAAAAAGAAGTACCGAAGCAGCTGAAATGCCAGAATTTGCGGAGCTCTCGAGGAATTGCGAACTGTTGATTCATATTTGCAGGATTTGTGGTATTTCAGACGCTGCAGGGTGTACTAATTATGAGGCGCCGTTTTGTGTAGCTTTGAACCTTACTAATTGCTAGTCCCTTTTAGGCGTTGATGCATCAATCATCGAGAATAGAGTAGGGTCAAGTGACTTGGGTACATTGAAAGGGTTGTCTCAGCACTATTACTTAATGATTCACCTAAAATTATATCATATTTAGTATCTATCTTAATCTTGGGTTTGTTTGAACTAACTCGTAGTTGCATATAATATGCCAAAAGTATGTTATGTACTGTGAATATAAATAGTTTATTGGGATTAATTAACTGAATGGAAGAAATAATAATTTTGAACATGCAAAGCAATATAAAATATTTTGTTATAGTTACAAAACTGTTTTATATCATTAACAGATTCTAATAAATTAATAAAGTAGAACTAAAATGAAGTAATATATCGTAAATTTGAAACACAATAAATGTTTTGCTGAACAACTAAAACTATAATGAAAAATGAATATAAGCATCGAGGGAAATCGGAGTAGATAAAGGAGGAACAACGAATACAAATAATATCGCGAGAAGAAAAGTTTTAACATGAAATATAGATGTAGATTAAAAAGCAAAAGTAATTAAACATTTTTAATTACTTTTACTGTTTATAATTACAAGGCATCAAATAGATGAAAAATATGAATAAAAGGATTGATATTATTACTATTATATTAATTGAAGATGTTTACCAAAAAAAAATAAATATCAATTATATACAATTATTATTGGTTAATTGTATATTATTATCTCATGAACTTATCTCATAGTTTGTCAACTTTGTAAGAAAGTTAATTAAATAAAAATAAAGTACAATCACATGTTATTTTCATTGCAATTTACTACCAAAGAGATTGTATCTGAGCGTACATCAGAAATCTCTTATGTTTGTTTTCGATAGGTTTCTGAACTGATTCCATTTAGATTACTTTGCGTAATCTCTTGTTTTTGATTTACCTTAAAGGATCAATGAACTTTCATAAGTTTTTCGATTAAATTAGATTTACAAGTCATTACATTTCAGATTTTTTTCTCTAATATAATTTCTTTCAAAGAATGTATGATTTCAAATAACAGATAGTTTTTAACCATCGTTTTAAGTTATTCAATAATATTTTTCTTGAAAAAACACTGTAAAGATTTGTTTATAATATTCGAAAAAAATTGGATATATTAATGTTAAATTGCATTACAATAGTAACGTAACGTAAAACTTTACATTCATAGGTGAATATGAAATGAATGCGATTGTGAGTTGTCAAAGTAATGCCAATATTGCACGATGGCTTATCGAACAATTGCGAAACAAATTTGCAAAGGAAACCATCGTTTTCGTTGATAAAGTTTTAACTGCATTTTTTTACGATGGTTTGCCTGTTTGCTCCTGGCAATTAAGTCTGGGTGTGTTGAAGTAATGACATAAAATATCACGGTTGGAGGTTGAGGGAGAGGAGGCGACCCCCATGAGCCAGGAGTTCGCCTGGATCGTCGAAAAACGATAAGAGTTATAGCCTAGGGGACTGCACTTGATAACCTCCACGGCACCAATACGTGCGCACTTTCCACCCCAGTGCCAGTAATATTCCATTCCATCCGCACTTGCCGCTTTTATGTGAATGTCCTCCTCTTCTATCCTCCATCCACCTCTCCTATCTGTCTGTATATATGCCTCATTCCATTCTGCTTACTTTTTTTCCTCCGTCATCATCATCGTCGTCGTCTCATCTCATCCTCTTTTCTCTCCGCCCCAGCCATTTCTGGCAATTCCATCCAAGTCTAATGAAATGATTTGTGTTTCGCCCATTCGGCGTTTACACGTCACGGTAATTACACGCATAAATAATCTGCTCGTAAATCTCGCCCCTCCGACGTGGGCGTAATTTATATTAAATTGAATGAATATATTTTGCATCGGCATCGGATTATTATTGGCAATGGTCGCCCTGGGGCCGTCCCTGCGTCCAACGCGCGATAAATATCATTTAGTTACGCAATTTGCATTCGCGCGCAAACATCTGAATCCGTCCAAAACGCATTCATATTGTTGATAGGATGTCCATTAGAAAGAACGTTGTCCATTGATTGGACTGCATCCATCGAGAACTACAATAAAACGGACCAACTGCACCATGAATTAAATAGCAATTAATTTCGTGTTTCATTATAATGATTGCACACGATTTTAATTGATTCCATTGAATGCCGCATGTGGCGAGATCGCAATTTGCAAATTAAACTTTTTCCCCATTTCAAACGAAACTATTTTTATATTTTTGTTACCTTCCATTACGTAATTGACGAAATATTATACAATATATTATTTGATACATTTTTAATTAAATTATATTCACAAAAATGATTTTTGTTTAACAAAATAATGTACTTTTCACACTTTTCTATTGTTACCACTTTTATACATTATGTATTAATTAGTTAATATTAGTAGTAAGATATAATAATAGTTCATGAGTTTCAAGCAATAATCTTTCAATGAATAATACAAAATAAAGCAGGTTTCAGTATTGTAACAAATTCCTACATGTTGATGAAGTCGTATGACTAAGCATTTTTACTGCGAACTAGAGGCTAACTGATTCTGAAATATTCAAGTATACTCTATTGTATGCAAACCTACCCTCGACTGTGAATTATCGTTATGCATTATTACTGATTACAATGAGGTCCCCGAGGTGCGAACAGTTGTAGTATTTGCAAACTGGCTATTGGAAATGCGTGTTCATCATTGTACATTGCAAAATCTTCGATGCACACACATCAATAACAATGTCCAAACTAGAACTGATCCAAATTAGATATAATAATTAGCAATTAATTAACACCTACTATTTCGTATAAATTATATGATTTGATTCAAAATATTACTCACCTCTTATGTAGTAGATACAAATGTTACGTGTATCAACTGATTGATTCAGGAAAAAAAGATGTTCCTATGTGATGAATCTACAATAGTTATTTTATATAATAGCTAGTTAAAATATTATAAATATGCTAAAAATTGAAATGATCGCTAATGCTGTAATTACATGTATTTCCGTTTCTTTGATTGACATTAAATATGTTTGATCTGTTTAATTGGAAAATGTAATTATAGGAAATAGATTGAATCAAGTTGTCGATTCTTCTTCGGGCAACAAAGTGATTCGAACGAGAGAAACGAAGAATCCAAGGAGTTGTCGGTGCGAAGTAGCTGTTTAGTTCCAGAAGGCAATCAATAGGCTGGAACAATGGCCACTACTTTAAGGCCACTCAATCAACGTCGGCGCCGTGACTTATTTATTTCTTTTTCTCTCCCTCTTCCACCTCATCCTCCTTTATATCCCCGGCAACAATTGATCCGAAGATATCACCTTGCATTTAAAAAGAACAAAACAAAAAGGAGAATCAAGAAGCGAGGGAATTAACTTTAGAGTTGGAAAGGCACTTCTGCACGAAGATACACGTCGCAGCGTGTCGGGTTACGTTTTATATGTATGTGGGTAGAGAGGAACTCTTGAGTTCAGGCAAAGGGTTGACACGCTAATTAATAAATCGGAGACCTCGGTCCCAAAGTGCGCGAATCCGGGCCATTAATCCTCGACGCGCATTAACGCTAACACTAATGGATCCACGCTTAGATTATGTTTAACTTATTAAATTTTCATTCGACGACTTGTTTTGTTTTACAGGGCATGCAGGATGCGAACCTAGGAGGAGCAGGAGGCGCCGTCTCCCATTTCGAGCCCCAAGTCGCCATCCTCTGCGACTCGGGTCTCCATGGACAAGAGGCCTATCATCCGCAATTCATGACTGAACAAGGAAGATGGCAAACTGATCTCGGCTCGAAAGCGACCTGCCTTAAGGACAAGATGGACATCCTCGACTATTGCAAGAAGGTAAGCACCGTTTTCGCGGTTCCATCTCCTACTCCTCATCTCATTACTTTTCCTCATTTCCTTCCTTCCACCGTCTCTATCCATCTCAACCTTCTTTTATTTTTCCCTTTTTAATTAAAACTTCTTCGCCAAGTAATTTAAGGGCTAAGTGGCAAGACGAGATTGAAATGAACGTTTTAATGAATAAATTTACGTCGAACGCGGAGGCCTCTATTAGTTCAAGCAACAATCAAAACTGTCATCTGCTCCTCCAGAATTAAAAAAAAAACTTCAAATTGGAAATTAATTTCCCTGATAACACTAATTTCATATTTATATTTTCCCTGCGGTATTGCAATTAAGAGTTCTTTTTACCTTTAATCACTTAAAAAACAACTTTATTACAATTTAAAAATTATTGCTTAAAGCGTGGTTAAAATGTAAATTTAAGATATATAAATTTGCATATTAATATTCGGAAATCTGAATGAATATTTTATTATCCATTATCCTGCAATACACAATCTAAGTGTTTCTTTAACGTTGTTTTACAGGACCATCTATTACATTCCATAAAAATTATTAACATATTTATTGATGTCGTTCAGATTTTATAGTCCCTTTAGAATTTAATGAAGTTTAATAAACAAGTCTTCTATTACCGATAATTATTTTTCTAATTTAGAATCTTAATAATATAATTTGAAATGATTCTTACTCATGAAGAACTTTCTAAATCTAAATGAAAACAGAAATTCAATTCAATTTTAATGCAGCTATTCTAATTTGTTATTTAAATATTGCAAAATGCAATTATTATAAAAGATTCTATAAATTGTTGGAACTTTCAATAATTGCTGCGCAATAAAAAGTGATCAAACATTTTGCCTATATTACTATTTTGTTTTTCTTCTGCATACATACAAATCTGTATAATTGCATTTTGATTAGTCATGAATATGTATTGAATAAGAGAGCACGTTTGAGTAGAAATACCAAATTTGGCTTTTGAAATATTGACGTGTTAAATGTGGCTGTGTGTAACATCAACATGTGTTACAATTTCTGGCGCAATGTGCGTTAGACGCAGGTCTCCAGTTGCGTTTATTTCTGGTAAATTTAGTGCCCATTGTTGTGTATAATATCCTGAAAGCCTTGTTGTTTCCCATATGCAGCGCTATGTTTTAGTAGAATAATATTGCACTAGGCAAAGCAAACATTAACATTACTTCTAATTAGTTATAGCAATAAGTTAAGTTCAAACAAACCGCTAATAAATTTAAATTAATTTAAAGATAAATGTTTTACTGACGGACTACCTGATTTCAGTTTTCAAAATAACCAATGAAAACACATGTTTTGCATAACCAACATCAATTAGTTTTATTTACAAATATCCCAATTAGAACATTTTTTCTAACTGAAAGACATGCAACGCAATTTCCTATTTCGAGTATTTGAAAGAAATCTGCTCAAATTAATTAATTTTTATGTTTGTACATAAATGTATTTTTAACTTGTAATCGTAAATATTTCTAGCCATTTACCTTTTTTTCACACCATAAGAATGTAAAAATAGAAAGCTAAAAGTATACAAAAGTACACGCGTCCATTTGATGGTTCCCTTTAGAATCTAAAGTTTAGATGAAGAAAAAATTGAAGAGGATGTGTGCATATTCCAACTTCTATGGAAGATGCTCACCATCATGGGATTATGTAAATACAGTATAAGTAGCGATACATTTTCAGCAAATTTAATATAACAAGCTTTGCAGATTCCTTCTCACTTATTATCAGGTACAGTGCTCTGCTTGAATTATGTGCAGGCTGTAATTTAATATTAGAAATATCCATGAAATTCTTATATAGTTCAAACCAAATTCTCATAATTAATAATATTGTTTTGGAGAAGATCAGATTTGTAAATTTAGAAAGTTGGTCTATATAAAATTTAAATTAAATATATTTTATTTATAAAACATATTTATCATCTGATTATTAAAGAAATAAAAGAAGAGAATTATTACTTACTTAGATTGTAAAAAAATAACGCTGACAATATTAAAATGTATGCTATATTAACTTTATAGGACATAGTTATTATAGGAAAGGTGACTCTGTTATTCTCGGAATAAAACGATATTGATTCATTCTATTACACCATTAGTATATTATTAGATATGCAAAAGCTCTTTATTGCATTATATAATTACAAATGATGATGATTCTAAAGGAATTTATTAAAATTAAACAACTTGCATCAAGACTGAACGACCCTTCATAGTATAACTTTATACATTATAAAATGTCAAAGTTATTTATATTTACACATTTTCACATAATACACAAATGATTGATTATTTTCAATAGTGATGACAGCATTGTTTTTCTTTTATTAACATGCAGAAAAAGATTTATGGTTTTGGCATTTTCTTATGTAATAATGTATAATGAAAGAATAAAGAGTACAGTTTTCATTTTATTGGCAAAAAAGTATAAACCTCTAGAAGTATGTCGCAAAAAAAAATGTATAACGTTTATATACGTCTGAGCGTTTATGAGAAAAACGGGAACAACATATTTTACGATCGGAGATGGGAAATATTAAGAATATGTGAAGAAGAAAGAGGAGGTCGAAAAGCTTGGGTTATTCCAGGCATTTTTTTTCTGTATAATATCGATCACGTCCACTTGAATAGCTCGATTCACATATCATCTCTCAATTATTTCCTCGACACTTGGAAGATGGATTCATTCATACATCCTTAAGCATCGGAGGATACGATTTTTGCCCGGAAACCAGTTAATACCACCTCTTTACACCCAATAATATCTTTTACATTCTCCATTCACGATATAATTTACATTACTTAGATTATCTGACGTTGTGCATTTCAGTTCACTTACTTATTTCGATTTTAATAACGATTTATTCTGAATTACATTTCAGTATATTCATTTCAGTTTAATAACGAGTCGCTTTAAAAGCAGTAAATTTAATATCGATATTGTCTAGAAGATATTGAAATTTAATATTGATTTGAATAATGTCTAAGAGAAGTTGTTTATGGATATACAAGAACAAACATACTTATTATTCCTTGAAGAAAATTGAGTTTCAAATTGTTTCTCAAACTCCACGATCGTTGGAATAAAAATATGCAGTCTGTTTCAGGTTTGTTAAATTACATGCAAAACTAGTTAGGATTCAATCTACTATATTTTTCGTTCAGAATTAGAGTCTGGAAACAAATATTATATGGAAAACGTGTTGGTAGTATACTTAATCTAGATCTAATTGTTATCAACTAAATCTGATGAGTTTATGATTATTCAATTTTCTAATTATTCTAAATGTTAATAATATCACCTTATAATATTTCTGTATATAGTTATAGATCTTGCATATAATAAACAGAATATCTATCAAGACATGTAAAATGGACATTTAAAAACTAAACTGATCCAATTTTTAACTAGAAAAACGTTATGTGATCATGATTGTTTTTGACTAATATCTATAATTTATTAGTTAATAAAAAATACTATTTATAAAAGTTATAGTTTTTTTATTGGATTTGTGAGAATCTCAGTACATTTTTGCATAATTGTACTAAAGTGAATGAAAAAAAAATAGCTATGGTTTCTTTTGTATTAAAATTTTTAAAGTAATCAGTTTAGAGGACTTCGTTAAGCTGTCTTTTATAGAAAGCAGATTGTAGATTTAATCTCCTTGAAGTGGATAGTTGGATATTTGCTCAACCGTTAGAGATTTATATATAAATAATGAGTTTAAAGAATGAGAGTTTTAAGCAAAAAGGATTTGAACCTTTTTTACTCACGCTCGAATTAGAATATATTCAATAAGGTTCAAGTGACCCAGTAAATTTGGAATATTGGAAGAAGAAGAAGGAAAAGGAGGACTAATCTGATTGATTGGGAAACGTGAATAATTCATGTGCAAAGATGCGCATGGTGAGGCAAGAAGGGATTAGCTTAGAGGAGAAGAGAGCGGCTGACATTAGCGATTTCGGTAATAAGCCACGTCGAGTGGAAACTCGTCCCTCGAATTAGGTTAAAAGGTTTCGGCAATTTTTCGGTTGTTGAATTAAATGTTAGTTAAACGTCGGTGGATTTGTAGAGAGTTGTTGGATTTTGGGCGCGACGAATGGGCGGGGTTTCAACAAAAACATTATAGAGAAAATGGGTGGTTTGGGGAACGTTAAAAAGGGATGGGAAGGGAACGTTGAAAATATTATGTAAGTTTTCATGAGTTTGAAACAGTTACAAATTACTTTCCAAACATTTGACGTCTATAACATACTGCGCTCGGGGTAATTAATACAAGTAATAATATTAAAAGTCAGTTTAGATATTTGTTTATTATTATGAGCAGTAATTTAATATTTTTTTCATGATTAAAGTGCTATTGTTGTCATATTCAACGTTGAATGAACTTTGTTTTGAATTCAGTTAATTTCTACTAGTTTTTATTGTTACAATTGATATTTATTAGCTCTACTAATTGGTGGTATTACTTATTTTGATTCAGGATTTAATGAACGAAATGAATTTTATCACTAATATTTTTAATTAACCCTTATAGATTATAGCTACATAAATCTCATAAATTTTAAATTAAGTAGTGGATTTCAAAGATTTATTATTTGGAGTCATAATAATGAAGTAATCACAGACTAGATTATATAAACTGTGGGCAATTTCCAGTTTAATTCAAACTCAGTTTAATGATAATTGCATATGAGTTTAAAAATGTTACGAGGCGAATAGTGTCGAATTAAATTCAGTATAATCGTCATGGTTATTATCATTATATACAATTAGATACTAGCTTCATTTTTGTAGTGGACATATTTTTTGCTGTTCATATTTATATATGTTGGAAGCATACTATAAAAGCATTAGTATAACTGTATTATTTATTATCTGATTAGAACAATAACATTTTTATTGCTATGGAAATAAGGAATGTTGTTGGATTAAGAATTAATTTAGTTAATAAATTGTCGATAATTTCGTGTTCATTTTATTCAGTAATATTAAGCTTACTATTTTTTTGTGATATATGAACAAAGAATGTTGTTAAATTGAACGCAACTGGGGCGTGGGGGTAAAAACAAAATTATGGAATGGAAGGGAGAAAAAAATATAAATGAAATGGGAACATTGAAAATGTTATGTGAGTTTTCGGCGGGGGCGAAGGTTGCCGGATCGGAATTCGAAACAAAAGATGGCTAAAAAACATTAAATGCCAGTTTAATATCAGGCTGGTTGAAGCAGGGGGTTAGGCCGTGGGGGTGAGATTGGGGGATGATGTTCATGCGACCCAGTTCAGCCATTCGAATCGATATTTCATAAAAACTCAGGAAATAACCGTGGATGGGAGGAGGGTGATGGGTGGTTGGTTTTGCTTGGTTCTTTGCAAAGCGAACGACCCTGCAAAACAACCCATCCGCAACGATTTGCGTCGCTCTCGCGTCATTCGAACGGTGTGAGGGATGAAGTGTTAGTGTGTTCGGCCAATTATCATTATTATTGCGAATTTTCCGCGCAATCAACGAGCCCGTTTTGTCGTTCCAACCGCGTCCTCGTTTTTTTTTTACTGTTATCGCCGACGAGAGAATTCGGTCAATGTAGAATGGAAAAACATAAATGTGAAACGGGATGAAATAAAAAAAAAGGGTGGCCTCCCCAGGCATCGATAAACCATTAGAAATGGCGCGGATGTCGCGCAACACCAACAAATCTAATTAGGGACAGAGAACCCTCGCGTTTCCTACAAACCCTCCCTCGCGTTTCCTACAAACCCTCCCTCGCCTCGGAAACCCGCAATATTGCATTAGGAGCGACACGAGCTTTACGATATTCCTGATGATGTGATTATTTGTTTACCTATTTTTTCAGATGTATCCTAAACGCGATATCACCAACATCGTAGAGAGCAGTCACTACCTGAAGATTGGGTCCTGGTGCAGGGCTGGATCCACGGCCGGCTCCCAGAGCCGCGGCAAATGCAAGACTGCCCGTTGGGTCAAACCATTCCGTTGTCTTGGTAAGTCCTAAAACACTATTAATACATCTTTAATTCACGATTGAAAGTTGTATTGCCATATTTTCATTGTTGTATTATTTGGACCGTAACCCAAGTTGTACTTTTGAATATTTCCAATGACTAAAACATGTTTAAGTGATCCCTGTTTGACAATTTCTCCTATTAATTAAAAGATCACATTGTATGCTTACTTATATTTTCCAGTAAGTATTAAGTACCGAGTTATTTAGATTTACAAATTATTGCTATTCACTATTACAATACTTAATATTTCAAAAAACAATATTTATTTGCATATGTTTTTAAACCATCTGGAAATTTAGAATTGCCTTCGTTAGTATTTGGTTACAAGAAAGTTACCAGTCAAAAGTATTCAGAAAGAATTGAGTTAATTATAAATATTTTCAATACATATATGTGAAGGCTTTTCTACGATATAGATAAGTTTTGAAAATTATCTTTGGTTAGATTGAATCTACATGTATATTTACATTGTTAAAACAGCAAACTTTAAAAAACCGTTGAATGTCTGCGCTTACAATAACACCACCAGGAGGTTAATCCCAAATGTTATATAAGTCGCTACTATTTCTTTGGAACTTTAAGGCGGATTCCAGCGATCCGAAATTGCAACTCTCAAAGCAATTTATTTCGAACAAAAAGCTGGAGCTGCCTGCGTGCATTCAAAATGCAAGTCTCAACACGGCCGCCTTTGGGCTCTTTGAGCAAACGTACAAGTTCCTCCTCTATCAATCCATCCCATCTGTCTATATGGACTGAGACGCGGACAGATGATACATTTCGTTTTTTGCAACTTCCTGCCTTCCTTCCGTTCTTCCAACGTCTCGGTAATCAGATTGTTTCCGTGTATCTCCTCAATCGAACGAAAGCCGCCGCCCCCCCGCCCTTTTTGCAACGGATAAAAGAAAGCTTCAATTTCTCGGGAAGGGCTTTACCATCGCCGTAATTACAATAAACCCCCGTTGCGATCGATGCAGACTCATGAAATATAAGCAGTGCCTCCGTTTTCGTATAAACTATGCAAATGCGTATTTTCCCATGACCCGTTTTCAATTGTACCACTACCGTCTTTCCACTCGATCCTCTTCCCCCATGCATAATAATACTCGATGCACGATCACTTACACAAGATGACAAATTAAACGTTTTGCATGATGGAAAGGGGGGCGGTGGGGATTTTTGTTGGAATGACTTTCCCTGAGCGCCCGAAGCAAATTTAATAATCATATAGTGCATTACTGATTCCGTGTTCTTGAGTAGTTGTGGGGGTGGTATCAAAGGAAATGCACAAAGACGGCAGGAGCCAGCAGGAATCGATATCGCGTGTTTCCCGTGTATAATTCATTTGGGTGCTTTTGCCCTCAAACCACATAAATATGTAATGTTCTTGATGGAGACAGAATAGCAAAATAATAATAATAAAAAAACAGACACTCCGCACTACTACTCAAACGATCTTATAAAATAGTAAATCAATCGAAACACAATCAAATTTGAATAATACATTAACGACATCCAATATAAAAATTCACTATTTTTATAACAAACAAATCTAAAAAAAACAATTATTACGTAATAATAAAAATGTATGAATATTTCGTATTCGTTCAATTTGAATTCATTCAATTAACATTTATTCGATGAGGTTCGACCATTATTTATAAGCTTCAAAAAAACTATTTTCATTATTACTTCAATAAGATAATTGATACAATACAATCATAGTTTTGAAAATATAAAATAATTCATTATTACTTATTCATAAATTTAATTAATTATGCAATTGAACGAAAATTTCTCAATTCATTCGATGAGGTTCGGGTTTAACTCAATTATGGATAAGCCTATATCAGCGGTGTGCGGTCGAAAAGGTCTAAGGGTGTGGTTTACTACGCAGATTTACATGTTAATTCTCCGATGAGCACATCTCCGGAAGTCTCCAATCGATTTTAATAAAATTAGAAGCGTATCATAGCTGAATATATCATCACATTACCTCGTACTAATTATATAATATATTCTAACCCAGGAATTACGTGTATATTATTATTATATATATACGACTATAAAATAATTATTATTTATTAAGAAGTAAAAAAAAACCTAATTCATTTCAATTATTGTCAAATACATAATTAATTTAGTTTACTTAAACAAATCATCTATTAAATCGTTGCATTCTATCATATCTATTCTTAAGAGGATTAAATCAAGAACATTTATATATTCATTGAAAGTATCTACAATATGTTTTTTTTAGTAAAATAGTATTAGCAATACCATCACCATTGTATATTGATCTCTTTTTTTCGTCTGCAGGGGTGATCTATCTTCATCGCTGCGGCTCTGTTGCTTTTAAATCGAATTGCTTTTTTTACAGTCTTATATATTTTATGGAGCAGCTGTATTTTTTATGTCGATAAAAGTAATTCATTCATTGTATTAAATTGAACTACTGAATATTTTTGCACCTGCTATTTTATATAATAAAATAAAAAAGTATTTTCAGTTCAATTTGGAAATGTGAACGGCAAAATAATGATCAAAAATTTGTAAACGCTTCCTTTTTATAAATGACATTAAATTTTGATAAGTTTATGCATATGGTATGTATCGCAAACATTTAGTGTTAAGATTTTCCTTAGAGACTTACCGTAATGAGAAATGAGTCAACTTATATTTCGAGTTCACAGTTCAATAATTATTGGATACGAGTTGTAATAGTTAATGTCAAATTAAGTTGTCACTAATTTCATTTGTACACGCTCTGGGATATTCGTTATTTGGTATGAATATATCATTGTAGAAACTATTGATACTATACAGTTTTGCCTCAATCGCCATATAGTTATCGATTCCATTTATTCTCATATACTTCTCATTTATACTCAATGGTTAATAACGTTTGTGCAATTAGGTCATAGATATACTTTGAAAGTGTAATTGTCCTCTACTACCTCTATGCAAATTTACTCAAATGGGTTTGTCTATTTGGTTATTTGTATTGAAAATTGTTGTTTAATTTTTCAACTTCTGTTTAATATAAGTATTGTAAATTCCCAAATTATAAAATAATAATTATAAAATAACTTGTATTGTACTTTGTCAATGCAATATGTTTTGAAAACATAAATTATTTGTTAGATTTGCAAATTTTTGTTATATAACTTAAATTTTGTTACTTTTTTGTTTTGTATTTTCCTAAATTATTCTATTTGATGATTTCCATTGAGTATGAGAATTATATATATTTTTTTACAAATTTTAACATATGTTTATTCAAGTATTATTTTTTATTTAAAACTATTTAATTGAAACAAAAGTATTACGGTAACTAATCTATATAAACCAAACATAATCACATCATGCAATACTTGTTTGTCTACATACTAAGTTATTTAGAAGAAAAAGTCTGATGACAAAGACAATATTCTGTGGACTTTCCGTGTCTCCCATTTTATTTCGTTTAGTAATAGCAAATATTTGTGAAAAGTGTTGGTCTCCGAGAAATGTATTCCATTAAACTGAGTGTTAAATATATTTTATTTTAATCTGGTATAAACTGAAAGGTATGATGTAATTTAACAAATTAAAGTTGAACAATTAACTGAGTTAAATTGGTGAATAAGTAAAACAACTTGTATTGTTCCATGAGGATTTTATTGCATAATTAGCGGAGTTACTTAATTTTTTTCTCCATCTGGCATATCTTAATTGTCCTGCGGAACAAAACTAAGTAGAGAACGGCCAAGAGACGACAATAGCCGAGGCCAAAAAACTCCAAGAACAATCCGGTGAACGAACTAACAGGTGCCATGCCGGAACAAAGGGCCGTCATGTATTTGCCGGAAATTCCGATGCTGCTGAAAAATTTCCCGTCGAGGGCGTCGTGAACGATTCTCTTTGCGACGATCACGGGACTGTAAAGTCCACCCATCTCGGAGATCTTCAGAGTCTCGATTGGCTTCGTTTCATTCTCAACTTTGAAGCCGGGCGTCTCCGTATCGGGTGGAACGGCGAAGGTAACCTGAATGTTATCGGGTCGCAATTCCATGGCCAAACTTTCCGCGAAACCACGAAGAGCGAATTTGCTCGCTGCATACGCCGTGTATCCGTAGAGACCGAAGAGGGAGCACATGGAACCGCATACGATTACGATGCCGTCCTTCCTCTTCCTCATGCATCCGACTACAGCTTTGGTCGGATACACGGTTCCGAGAACATTAACCCTCAACATTTCCTCGTAGTCGGATTCATCGAGTTCCTCGAATTTCCCCGCCTTCGCAAATCCCGCGCAGTTGACGAGCATGTAGATAGGGCTTAATTCATCCAAGCTCTCCAATAACTCTTTGGTTTGCTTCCAATCGGAGCAATCGAGCGAGATGTACTTGAAGACTTGTCGCTTATTGATGGAGACGGCTTGCAGTTCTTCCAAGCATTCGAGAAGCTTCCCCACGTTCCTCGCAATTAACGTCACGTTAGCGCCGCTCTTCGAAGCCAATAATGCTATCTCCTTGCCGATACCGCTCGAGCCTCCAGTAACAACGACATGCTTATCTTCGAGCCGTAATTTACCTTGGTCCAGATTCCTCTTGAAGACGTACAACAGGAAACGCATCAGCATCAAAACCGCAAACACGTGGATGACGATGTACGGAATCATTTTTGTGTGAATCGTTTTTTTTTACTCGCTGTGAATTTTGGCAGCCGTTGTCAAAAGTGGATCTATGGAAACAATGGGACACTTCAGAGGCGACTTGGATAATAGGTGGAGAAGGTGCGGATATGTATGAGAGAGAAAAAAAAAAGGACGCGTTAATTGCATATGCGGTTGGTTCTTCTCTTATTGCATTTTTTTTCTTTCTTCTTCTTGTGTTATCCTGAATGGCACGGGCCACTTCAGCAGTCGAGAACCATCTTCTGAGACAATACTCGGGGCCACGCCAGATCGATAGGTAGATGAGGTCGGCGTATGTGGGGCGCCGTAGCGCCTCGGGGACGCCACAACGAGCCTCAACTTTTTCCTACATGCCAACTTGGCACGAAATATGCTGAAAAAGAAAAGAATGGAGAGGAAAGGAAACGAGGAAAATGCGAAGGGAAACATAGAGAAAAAAAAAGTGCAGAGAGTAAGAGAAAGAGAGGAGAAAACGCGAAGTGGAAACTCAACAATGTTTGCACCTAGGGATTAACAGCGAAACGCTTTTAATCTGGGGCGAAACTGGAATTTATTTGCAAAATGTTAATAACCGATTTATGGTAATTCATAACGCCACTTCACTTCTCTCTCTTTCTCTCACACACACTCTTACTTTGCGTTCATTTTTATGCTCTTTTCTTTATGCTGGATGCATAGAATGAAGGGCGATATGAAAAATGGGAGCAGCGAAAAGGAATTTCATTTAGCTGCTCGAGTGGGCGACGGTCGGGGAATTAAGAATGTCGTCGAAGTATAATGGCGCTCGAGACGCGAAGAAATTCTGTTTTAATTAATCCCTTATTTGGGTGTCATGTGCGATATTGGCACGATGTAATAATGCGGGAACGTGCAGATTGCAATTTTATCCGTGGGTCAAATGCGTTGTTTATTGCCACGATTAAGATATTAGTTGTAAGGCGTGCCCAATTATTTTCCAAGAAAACATTTATTTATGACTATACAAACAGTGCAAAACAATAGTAGTTGTTAAGAAATTTTACTCGTAACTGATCTTCGACCACGAAGTTCTTCTAAGGAGACAAATCCGTGAATCCAATCACATTTAAAGGACATCATTAGTAGTTCGAAGCAAATTCATGTTATTTTTTTAATCCACTTTAGTATCAACTTCATTCATAGGAAATAAAAAAGATCAAAGTCCAAATTAGATAAACGTATCTAACAGAACATTTGCTAATTCTTCAAACTATTGATTTATATGTATTCACAAATATTTTCTTTAAAACTGACACATAATGTCTTATCTCACACATAATACATTTTACCTACTTAGAATAACAAACTTAATATCATATTTTCTTCTTTTCTCTAACAATGACTGTTTCAGTCCGGACTAATCGAGGTACTAAAAAATATACGTTAAATTAAGTTTTGGTATTCATTCAAACTCACACTCGGTACGAAAAAGACACAAGTTGAAGTTGCTTAGAAAACTAATTATGAAAAACTACACGCTTCATATTAAACTTACAGTTAACATCTGTTCTCGTAGCAATATAAAGTTTACAAACTGAAAATGATATTCAGAACCAGAAAACTAAATAATTCAGTTTATGAAATTAAATACTTCAAATTGAGGTGATTTCAATTTCAGTCTCGTGTATTGTGCTTGTTTTACGTTAACCTGACAAAACAATCCTGTTTGATTGATCCTGCATATGCAATTATTTCAACGAGCAAACAAGACTCTTGCCGGTGTTATTTCATTCCGACTAAATGGGCCTCAGCATCCAAGTATAAATTGAATCGATATTTCCAATTACCACAGAAGCCATTTCAAAGTGTATGTATATAGCATGATTTAATGTTGGTTATTTAGAAAATACATTTATCGGATTTATTATGACACAAAGAAAGTTCTGTTTTTTTTTCTTCAATTTGTTCGTAAAGTGTAGTTTATAAAGTTTTTAGCTCAAGTAATATAGATTTATTTAAAAAAAAATATAATAATAAATTGTAGGCAATAATCTGATATTGGAACTATTCGAATTTCGTAAATAAGTTACTGGGGGATTGATGGTTTTATTTGTATTATTCCAAACTATTATAAGAAATATTGATAGGAAAACTTCTTTACGTTCACTAGAATATATTTATGTTTACTTATAGTATAAAAGATATAGCCTTTTTAATGCAGTCTTAAATATATTATTTTTAACTTGAATAATAATAATTTGGTTAAGGAAGTAATTTAATAAAATTCTATTGTACAATGAATAAATTTGTAATCTAATCTTACTTTTGCTTAATTGACAAATTTGATTTAACTCTATTTTGTTGAACTCTTATTGGTTGGTATACTTATATATAAGTTTTGCATCTGTTGTATAAGTATAATAATCACTGCTAAATAATTTTCTTAATTGGAAATAATCATAGATTATATATTTATATTCACTATACGTTTAATTTTAATAATATAAGAAAATTCAACTAATCAAAATATATTTGTTTAATTTGTATATTAGATTTTATATGAGAAAAATACGAATAATTGAAATTTGTATATAGTAATTTGCAAGTGATGTAAATATTAATGAAGGTTTGGAAACGTTGGTATTTTTTCTCTCCTGCTTCAATCCCATTGTCAATCCACCGGTTTCATTAACGTCCGAACCGAACACACTTGGATTTCGCTTTTAATTATCGTCGAGCGAATTCGATCGGACAAATTGACAGAACGTAAACAGAACAGAACGTACGGCAAGCAAAAAAAAAGCAGAACGAGATATTTAATCAAACGGCATTTTGCGCCCGAAGTGTATTAGTAATTAAGTAGGAAAATTGGATTTCGAAATGTGCATTTGGAAAATCGATAGAGCAGACATACACGATGCGATCATTTCTTTTTATTATGTGCAATCCCATCGGGTAATAACAGATTTTTCTATTACCAACCAATTCGATCGGATTTATCGGATGGATCGGATAATCCTTTTCGCCTCCATACATCCAATTCTTTTTGCTCGTCAATCCTTTTACCGTGAGGACAATAAATGAAATCATCTCGCAGATTGATATGTGCGCTGCGTATTTTCTGATCCAGCTGCGAATCGATTCGTTTTTACATATTAAATAAAGTAATGAGGTTTCCTGCCTGGAGTTTGGATGATGATGGGTGGGTGGATGTTTGGGGTTTCTGTATGCAAATCCTGGCTCCATCCATGTTTAACGATTGAGTCTAGTGTTGACTGTTTGCGCGATTAGCCTGCTCCTCTGAGTCCTGGGTGTGATTTAGGGGGTGGAGTGCGTTCGAAATGTTATTGCGTCGCGACGCTCTTGTTCCTTTAACGACGCTGTATATCACCGGAGGACCGGGACCCCGATTAATCCCGTGCGGAAAGGACGTGGACCGCCTCCAACCGGATCCGGAGGAAAACAAATTCGCAAAATGAAGAGACTGCAAAACCGCCTGATTAATGGACACGACCATCCATCCGTATCACCGTCATAATCCGCTTTCCTGCTTGGAAAAAGCTTCCTCTTCAGCTTCATTAATTCTTGATGCTTCCAATATAGATATTAGAGAGGCTTAGCCTCTCCAAATCATACACATCGTGGATACATTATTTAAGCCTCTGGCAAAGATAAATTTCAAACATATATTCAATATCAGTCTTTTATTTTCTTTAATAGACCTATTCACATACATTTTCATTAATCTTTCTTATTTAATAAATGCAAGAAATTGAATAATAAAAAAATATTGAAGTCTGTTTTAAAATGACTCAGAAAGTGTAATGAAAATTCCTTCATTAATTAAGTTGTGTTAACACAACGCTGGCTGAATACTTTACATGAACATGATTTTTCCATTTTTATGATTTTTTTTTTTAGAAATTACAAATTTCGTTTGATGTAACATGCCCTTTTTCAAAGCATACTTCTAAAAGTAAAGAATATTTTCAAGAAAGGCTCAATTATGAGTTTGGTATTTTTTTTTTCTTCGCAATTATTATTTTCTTTTACAAATTTCCTAATTAAAGTTCGCATTTATTTTTTTACAATCAGTTCTTTCATATTTTTAGTTAAAAACTTTTGAATTTTCGTTTTATGTATTTTTTAAAATTTTGTTGAAACTTGACCTAAGATATTTATATAAGCACTTTTATATTCATAAGCAACATTTTCTATGAAGATAAACATAGTATTTCCTTCTTTGTAAAATATTAAAAAAAATGGTTGAAATAATACGTTGTTAAAATCTTTCTGACGTTAGGTAATATTTCAATTCTAATGGAAATTGATCACAAATATTTAATATAATATGGTAGAAGTCTTGCTTCGCGTTCTTAATATTTAAGTGACCGAATATGATCTAATTTATTACGATTCAATGATGTGCGTTATGTCCGTTTCAGAGGGTCCATTCCAATCAGATGCACTTCTCGTTCCGGAGAATTGCCTCTTCGACCACATCCACAACCAAAGCAACTGCTGGACGTTCGGTAGATGGAATTCAACAGCTGCCACGGCATGCCAGGATCGTGGACTTCAATTGCGCTCATTTGCCATGCTTCTCCCATGCGGCATTTCCTTATTCAGCGGGGTGGAATTCGTCTGTTGTCCGAAACACTTTAAGGGTAAATCTATCTTCCTAAGCGAACTGCTCGAGCAAAGCAAATAAAAGATGCAAACAAATCGAGCAATGCGCGTTTGCTGCAGCAGTAGCATCAGTTCGTTTAAAATGTTGCTCAAACTAATTTGGTGAATGTTTGATGAATTATGGATGGCGGCTAATGGGCACGGCATGGACCATTAGCAAGAGCAGAAGCAGCAACAAAAGGGCGGACGGGGGATGTTTCCCTTTTGATACGTGCGAAATGCGACTTGCTTTGTTTATGAGCTCATCATTGTCGTAACACCGTTTCTTTCCATTTTTCTGTGCATTCATTTTTGTGTGTATATGTATGTAGGTAGTATTTCGCATCTGGTCGACGCGGCGTTTAGTTCATTGGGCATCCGCATTAACCCAATTAGAGCCTGGACTTATTAAAGGTTAACGTTGATGGATGCTCCCGTAAAGCACAAAATGTTCCGTTTTAAATATTCACGCGCGACTGAAACAACCGCCCGTCCGGCTACAATGCCATTCCGACATTCGCATCTATAAATTAACAAATCGCTCGGAAAATTCAGGGAAATTTGATATTTGCAAAATAACAATGGACCACCTCTGCTGACCCTTTGTTTGGCATGCATACACACACATATATTTTTTTTATTTGCTCGCCTCCCAAAAAATGATTAATCCTTTAGAGAGCAATCTGCTCTAGCGTTTCCAGATATTTACTTTAGCTTGGGTGCAATTTTTTGTGTGTCTGTGTGTGGGTGCGAAGGGTTATTCGTGCATATTTTTGCGTGTTGTCCGGATAAATCCAGTTTCCGCAAGATTGAATGCGGGCAATATTCACGGTTGGTTGGAGAGAACGCCATTGGGAATAACGGGAATGGGGTTTTTCGGCAATCGCTGGGGTGGATTGGGTTGTTTTTGCGCTTTATTATTGAGTGCAATTTTGTTAGAATTAACGGAAATAATCAACTCTGAATGTATGCACAGATAACATGAAGCCGGCGAAGAAACCGATCGATTTGGCCATCCTGAAGAACGACCAAGATCTACTTGATGTTGAGGACGACTTGGATTCGAACGAGGACGAGGATAAGGACGATCTCGAGGATTTGGGTGATGACACCGAGTTGGCCGACGATCCTGCAATTGATGACATGGACGATGAGGATGACGACGACTACGATGACTCCGACTGGGACGTGACCCCTGCCAGCACTACGTCAACCGTTAAAGTGACAACGGCCGCTCCATCCACCACGACCACCGCTAAATCCACCACAGTTCCCACTCCTGATCCCTACTTCACCCATTTCGATCCGAGGAACGAGCATCAGAGCTACAAGGAGGCTCAGGTAAAGTTCATTTCATGAACGGGCACCGCCTGCTCGGTGTCTGGTTGTTGGGATGTTAGGAATTTTGTTGTTTCGTTCCAGGAGCGTTTGGAAGAAACGCACCGCGAGAAAGTGACCCACGTTATGAAAGATTGGTCCGATTTGGAGGAGAGATACCAGGATATGCGTGCTACCGATCCGCGCGGAGCTGATGCCTTCAAGCAGAGGATGACCCAGCGCTTCCAGCAAACCGTGCAAGCTCTTGAAGAGGAAGGAGACGCAGAGAAGCACCAATTAGCCGCGATGCATCAGCAGAGGGTCCTTGCTCACATCAATCAGCGTAAGAAGGAGGCGATGTCTTGCTACACCCAAGCCCTCAACGATCAACCTCCAAACGTAAATAAAACTCGAGCAAACAGCTCAAGAAGCATGGGAATAGGGATTTATTATTATTGTTTTTGTAGACTCACCGCGTGCAGAAGTGTCTGCAGAAATTACTGCGCTCGTTGCACAAGGACCGCGCTCACGCCATTACTCACTATCGCCATTTGTTGTCGAGCAGTCTGGATGCGGCCAACAGGGAACAGCCCAGAACTTTGGAGCGTCTCGTCGATATCGATCGTACCGTTAATCAAAGTATGCAGATGCTCAAAAGATTCCCGGATCTATCCACCAAGATCGGCCAGTTGATGGATGATTACATCCAGGCGCTTAGGTCTAAGGACGATACACCTGGGGCTCTGCTCGCAATGACTCCGGACGCTGAACAAGCCATCCTGGACAAGTACAAGGATGAAGTTGTTAACAAGCAGCAAGAGAAGGAACGTCAGAGATTACAGGAGAAGGCACGCAAGGAGCAACGCAAGAAGGAACGCACCGAATTGAGGGAGGAGAAGAAGAGAGTCGAGGCGGTTTTGGGCAAGAAAATAAGCAATTTCGATGCTGAGGACATGGAAGACGAATCCTTGCCAACCGATGATAAATTGGTAAGTTCATCTCATATATTAATTTATAAAACAATCCAATATTAACAATTAATTTTACTATTGGTACCTATTATCTAATAAACTGATATATAATTTTATTAATAAACAATTAATAAAAATGAATCCAAATTTTATGTGCACGGTATCATTATACAAAATTAATTAAGTCATTGAATTATTAATAGACACTATCAATTCATGTTTTGTACCAAACTGATCTCTCGTGCACGTATCGATTTAATCGGCCTTGCATTAATTTAAATCGAAATATATACACTCCTAAGCCAAACCACATACTTTATATAATTACTTTCGAACCTACAATTAATTCATTAAATACTAACTATACATCTAATTAAACACATTTGAATACTATCCATGCAATGCTTAATGTGGATATTTTGCATATACACTTTCCAAGTTAATAAAAACACGACTTTACAGTAAAAAAGGTTACAATTATTTATGAATATTTATTGATGAATCACACTCATACACCTCTCAGTATTAATATCAGTACAATTAATAGTAAATGGAAAAAATACTTCGATTATCCTAACAAAGCAGTTGTGTGTTTATGGATGCTACCATTCAGGATTGTGATAATGATTAGGTTTGGTTTTAATTAAGATGTCAAGAGATCCGCCCCGGAAAGCGTATTTGCCTAAGCACAAAACAAACTTACGGAATTATCGTGCGACAACACATTAGAGTTCAAATTCGACGAGAGTTGCTATAGTATAAGCTCGGAACAAGCCAATGAAACCCCTCAACATTCCGAATACTTCCTCTGTGTATTAAGCACTTATACAAAAAAAAGGATAAATCAGAGCGCGCATACAGATTAAGTATTTTGTAATTACTTTTTTCATTGTAAATTGTATTTTATTTACTTTTCGATAAAAGTAGGTTATTAGAAAAGTTATGTAATGGGAGTAGAAGAACAATTTTGATGTATGATAAGTTAGTAGAAAAGGTGCATACACATTAAGTGAACTACTTGTCAATGTATTTCTGAATGATATTTATTTCTTTTTTTTTTATTTGCAGACTACCATGTCTTCGACTTTCGGTAGCAGCAGCAGCGTGAGCAGCAGTAGCACAGTCTCCGATATAATGAGCAACTTTATTACCACCGTCGAGGATGAGGTGATTGCTCCGCACAGGGAAGTTGATGATTCGGCGGTGCAGCAGGCCGTCGAAGATGTCGCCGCCGTTGCCCATCAGCAGGATGTCATCAGGATTGCGCATGCCATGACCCACGACTTCGGGCACGGCGAACCGGTGAGTTTTCTTGATCAAAGATTTTCGATAAAATGAAAAGAATGAAATAATACAATAATATTCTATCGTAGACTTATTCGGTGCGTCGGGAAGTTTACGGACGCAAGGACGGAAGGAGCGTCTACTTCACCCTCGCATTCGCTGGAATGGCCCTGATGGCTGCCGTTGTCGTCGGAGTTGCCGTCGCCAGACGTCGTTCTGCCCGTTCCCCTCAGAGCCAAGGTTTCATCGAGGTGGACCAAGCAGCGACGCCCGAGGAACGACACGTAGCCAACATGCAAATCAACGGATACGAGAATCCGACATACAAATATTTCGAGGTGAAAGAGTAAAAGGAAAACCTCAGAGACCGTTTCTGTTTTTATATATATATATATATAATTTGTTATTTTTACTCTATTTTTTATTCTTTTTAATTTATATATATATACATAATTAATTGCCATATTAATTTAAAGAGACTTTTTTTGTTTTTTCTCTCTCGATTCGTTAAAATTCGTCTGTTTCGATTTTAGTTTCTCGTTTGAAATCATTCCAATTAGTACTTAATTTCTTCTACTTCTTCTTATTCTTCTTCTTATTATTTAGAGGGGGGAGTAGCTTAGATTGTGCGAACAAGTTTACAAAAACCGAGCAAGAAAACCGATGAAAGAAAAATAGAGAAAAGAAAATAAATTTGAATGAATCAATCGAAGCGCAAACCCGCAGGAACCCGAAATACTTTGTAACTTTGAAATATTTGAAAAGAGCAAAAGAGAAGATAAATAAATAAGATGAAGATAAATATACTAAGATAATAATAATAATTTTAAGCATATGCAAAATTCGCCTACTCATTGAATTTCTCGATATTCTTTTATCTATTTATTGCGCAGTTTTTTGCATATGACACTGTCCATGTTTAAATAAGTATTTCTATTCATAATAATTCTAATTTAGTCAATGGTTGCTTCGTCGGATTTGGCGGCTACTCTCTTGTCGGATGGTTACTATCTCCAACGGCAACCGAATAACGTGTAGCTAGATGTAAACGGTATTTATAGACCCTCCATAACCTTAACAAAAAAAATTGATTAACGATATATGAGGATTAAAAAAAAAAGATTACATGAAGATAAAAAAAATATATAATACAATATAGATTATAATGCATGTCTACCTTAATTCGAGCTTTTTGTACAAAGTAATTATTTTTTATTTATTGAATAAAAATAAGAGTCTATGTGAGGATAATATATATATTTATGATGTTTCGAAACATTAATTCACTATATTTTAACCGATTCAGCAACAACAACAACAACAAAAAAAAACAAAACAAACAGGGAAGAGCCGAAGCTTCATTTTTGTTCGTTATTATGTTTTGTTATTATTTTCGAACTTGTCTTCACTTCTTCTTCTTATGTCACCTATGATGCATGCTCACCTCCACCGCAGCACGACCTTCCGTACTTCATCATCGCATTCCTCTCAATCAGGTTACGTTGTTTGCATCCACGTAGGTTGTTGTCATACAAGTTTGTCCTTTGATTGCCCGCTTTCGTCGTCACGATCTTCAGAAATCACCAATTGCAACCCGAATCCAAGAAGAACCAAATTAAAGATCCGAGAGACAAGCAGAAATCGATTGTTGGAATCGTCCTGTAAAATGTAAAGAGATGTATATTACTTTTAGAAAGTTCTAATCGAAAGAGGAAGTCGAACAAAAAAAAAAATATGAGAAGAGATTGGAAGCAGTTATTTAATTCAAAATGTGTGATCATCGTCAGGACCGTCTGGAATTGCGCTCGTGCTCGCATTGCAAATGATTTGAATGGAATCGGAGGAATCTCAATTCGTTTTGTTTTTTGATTTTAATTGCAATGAACCGATTAATAGGGATTTTACGAGTTCCTTTCAAATTGAACATTTTCAACCATATTACGATTTCGTCTAGAAATTAAACATTTAATTAAGTACATGTTAATTAAATATTTTATTTCTAAACGTAAATAAATATCAAAACGGGGTAAATCGTCGAAAAGTACATCAGCAATTCCCTTGATTCGATTCCATTCAAATATCACGGGTATCTTCGGAGTAGCCAATTTACTCGAGTAGAAATCTTAATTTTCTTATACGTTAATTTTGTACATTTTTCTAACGAGTATACACATGAAGGCAGCATAATATACTACTTAAATATACAATATACATATATTACAATATGTATATTTGTATTCTAGGAATAAGCGTTTCAAACTTTTTATGATCAGAGCTTCGCAACGGAAGAATTGTTGCGCAACGCCATTCGCTTCCAGCAAGATTCCTTGCGGAGATCTGACGCTCATAACAAAGTGACGAGGTTATAATAATGGTAAAGTGATAGTCGCTATTTTTTATTTCATTTCGACGTGTAAAACCCTTTCCAATCTTAGATGGAATTTGGGAGATTTTACGTATTTCGTTGCGGTAGATCGATGTTAGCCCGGCGTACTCAGAGGGGCCGGATTTTCAGTTCCAGTTTGAAATTTGATTTCCACGTTCAAAAATCCCGGCGTTAACAAATGCTGAAGTCAGCTTTGCTAATTGAAACTCATCTAGAGGGATTCCAGACCTTCCTTTGTTAAGGTCGTCTTTGCGAAGGGAATCCCCAAAAACTTAGGTATAAGATGTACAAATAAGTAACTTAATTAAGTCGATGGATTTATTTCATCCACTAGTGTATATGATAAGTAATTGAATGGGATACGCTGTGAAAAGCTGATCCCTTAAGATAACGTTTTATATAATTTGTGACTTAATTTACTTATTAATTTGATTTGTTTAGTGATAAAAATGTAGATAGAATTAAAGTTTCGTTTCCTCTTTTTTAAATCGAAGCGTCCGGAAGGAGTGCCGCGTGTTAGGATTTAAGAATTAGTTTGTAGGATTATCTTTTGAAAAATTTTCAATTTTTTGTTCACTATTTTCGATATCCGCGCGATATGGCGATATGAATATCCGTACTGGTATGAATCTATAGGCTAAGAGCGGCGGTATTTACTACCACTCGCAAGTAAACTAAGTTAATCTTAAGAAATTGAAACGCACCACGCGCACTTGCAGATGGTTCTGAAACGGTCTTTTTGAAAATAAAGCAAATATTCTAAATGTTCATTTAATACTAAATACTAATACTAATAATATATATTTAAACCAAAAAAAAAGAGAGAGAATATAGTCGAAAACGCACAAATAATTTAGGGATTTATTACGAAGCAAATATATATTTAAAAAAGAAAACTACATTACACTTTATTTTTCATTTAATTATTGCATGCCTCGATTAAAATAAAATATTTAAATTTGATTATGCAATGATACCCAGAATCGCGATAATAGACTTTTCATTTCAGCTATAAACTGTAAAAGTAGATTTAGTAAAAAGAAAAGAGGAAAAAAAAAACTTTATTTCGTTAGGGCTCTGAACATAATACAAGAGGTGTATCAATAAAGAAACTTGAGTTTTTAGTGTCTATAAAAACTGAGAGAGAAAAAAATATGTATTTAGCCGATTTCAGCAATCGAAAGTTCTTGAAAACTTTGTCTCATTATTTTGGTTCTTGGAAAATTTGGATTGTGTTTGCGTTTTTTTGTGGAAGATTGATGTAAGAGCAAATATATTAAATATAATGTATATCACAATTTCCTTTCCATATCACACGAGTTTTGTGGTTTTAATCAAAATGTGTACCAAAAAGATAAAGAAATATAAAAGCTTATTGAATCTGTAGATACAATTAACAAAATACATAAACCGAAAAGAGATCACAGAGTATTTAGCATTTGTAATGATATTGATAATGGTATGATAATAATAATTAAACAAAAAAAAGTAATTGGAAATTAGCTTTGGACGGCTTATGTGTACAGTAAATGAGAAAAAAACATGATAATTATAATAAATCATTAACCCTGAAAAAAAAACTATATATTTCCCCGATGTTCGTTGCTTTCTTTCTTCTAGTTTGTCTTTCTTTATTATTTTAGGACGAAGTTGAAAAAATAATCAACATTGTGCTAACTTTCTTGTCTGTCTGTCTTTCAAACTCATACATTGATTTGTATTTTGTACTTACTTTCATTTCGCAGATATGGAACTGAGTAGTTAAATATTGCCAGTCGATGAATCTACTAAATATGTATTTGTCGTGCAAAAAAAATAAATAAATATATTATGATTATATTGCATTATATAAATATAATAATATTGTGTACGTTTGATGTTTATATTTACGGCTATATTGATTATCATTGCGTAATAATCTAATTAAGATAATACACAGAACAATGGTATAAAATATATATAAATATATATTTGGAAAAGCAAAACTATATAAAATATACATAATATATAGATTGATAGCGAAATACTATTTAGATAATGAAAAAAAATAAATAATAATATTAATAAAATATATATTGAAGAAAAATAAAAACAACTAATAAATAACTATTTAGTCATCAATTATGTGTTTTTTGTGGCCATGTAATTTGAAATTTTCGTGTAATAAAGACGTAAATTATTTTAAATCTTTACCAGCAAACAACAACAACAAAAGCATTTTCAAACATTTTACAATATTTTTTTTTTATTTCGATGTTTACCATTACTTCTTTTTAGCTGTGTTCAATTTTTGAAGACAAGAGATTCACCTCCTTTTTATTTTGCAAATAAAATAATGCAATAAATATAAGTGGTGTTCCGTGTACATTTTTTTTCTTTATTTTCCTTTTCTATTATTGGATTATTCTGAAAATTACATAAACAAAAATTATATTTTTGATCTGTTATCTTTCATGAATTAAAAAATATTACAAAGTTTGAGAACGAAATTGAAAACAATTCAGTTAAATATTTGAAGGAATAATTGACTTTCAGACTTTATTAAAGGGAGTAGTTTGTAAATATTAAATACATTTTTGAAGTAATTGTTAGTTGATACAAATTTTTAAACTAATCAAAATTTTAACTATTTCTTCAATTTTCTTAAAATCTGTAATTTATTTTGTAAATGTATTGCGAACTATGTGTACGTTAAGCAACAGTGAGTTTCTTAAGTATATTTTAAGTTACTAAAATCTTATTAAAAACAATCACAAATTTTGCTCAATATTTACAATAAAATAGTAACTTTCAATAGACTAATTCAAATTTTTAACTATTTCTATTATTTCATTGAAGGAGTTTGTAAGTAACGAAAACGTTTTTGAAGTAATAACATATCAAGAAAAAGTGAGTTTCGTAAGTTGAAATTCAATGTATTGTTTAATAATTGATACAAATTTTCTAACTAATCAAAATTTTAACTATTTATATCGTTTTCTTAAACACTGTAATTAATTTTCTAAATGTATTGCAAACTATGTGAATGTTAAATAACAGTGAGTTTCTTAAGTATATTTTAAGTTACTAAAATCTCAAATTTTGAGTAATTTGTAAATATTCAATACGTTTCTGAAATAATTACATTTCAAGAAATTGTGAGTTGTTTCAAAATCTTATTGAAAACAATCACAAATTTGGCTCAATATTTATAATAAAATAGGAACTTCCAGTAGACTAATTCAAATTTTTAACTATTATTTTATTGAAGGGAGTAGCTTGTAAATACTAAAAACGTCTTGAAATAATCAAATTTTAAGAAATAGTGAGCTTCGTAAGTATATTTGGAAATAGGTGAAAAAAATCACAAATTATACTCAATACAGTGGAACCTCGCTTAACGAGTTTAATCCGTTCCAAATTTTCAGGATTTTTACTCGTATAGTGAAACATATTTAAAAATACACACTATATGTGTTTTAGAAACGATGTAGTAGGCACGCAAACCGGGACTTCTCTTCTCATCGTCACTCGTTATGAGAATCGTCCCTTTCTTACAATTCACTTTGATCGTTAAGCGAAATGCTCGTTACACGAAGTTCCACTGTATTTGCAATAAAATATTAACTTTCAGTAAATTACTTCAAATGTTAGCTATCTCCACCATTGTCTTAATAGACTGCAGGTATGTATTTTGTAAATGTACTTAAGTAAATGATAGAAAAAAGTATATTTTGAGATAGAAACAAATATTAAAAACATATTAAATTTCTTCTAAATATCGAATAATTAGTTAACAAACAAATTGTAAAAGTGTATTTATGTGTATAATATTTTATTAATATAATAAATGCAATTATTTCTTGAAACTAGTTATTAATTCGAAAATTTGTAAATTTATATTACGATTAAATAATACTAATAAACAATAGCATTGTAAATTATAGTCAGAAGAACTTACTTGCTTTTAGTATAATGCATTAATATTGTAATATCAATGTTAAATAAGACAAAATAACAGAAAAATTTACGTTTCAAATTAAATATCATCAAATAACATGAATACATTTAGCATTATTTTTGTCTTTGTTAAGATGTAAAATTATATATGGAAAGACTAAATACAGATAAAATACCATCAATTAGAAATTATAGTTTTTTTTTATCTGTAATATCTTTTCATTCTTTCTTTCTAGAAAACAAGAAAATCTCGAATATCAGCTTACTTTTTCCAAAAAAAATTAATCAAGAAATATAAACCATAAACGATGAATGCAGTTTTATATTATAATTCAAATAGAAGTCAATATTACTTTGCAAAATTTATGAATAATTACAATTATATTATTATAACAATAGTGCGGCTTCGATTAGTACGGATTTACGTTTTAAAATGTTCAGAAAGAAATAAATTTTAATATATTTTTTTCCTAAATGATTATTTATTTTTCTCTAGACAAAAAAATAACTAGACTGTACTTATATAATGTAATGTTCGATTGATTTCAAACAGTGACAGAGATTGGCGCAACGCAATATTATATTTATTGTAGGATTTGGTATTACGAATAGATTTAGTACAAAGTTAATTAAAGTAGTTTGTATTGTTTTGAATAGGAAGTATTATGCTACAGATATCTAGGTTACAGCGTTTATTGTTGAGTTAGGTCGTTTGCTTTGAATAGATATTTCATTTACAATAAGATGTTGCCTCTCTGATTTCTCTTGGAAATTCATTGATTATTATTAAGTAGTTGCACCATCATTGCTTGACTTATTCATTATAAAACAAATTGTTTAAGCATAAAAGTTGAAAATGTTTATATATTATGTAAATATTAATCACTGTTTAACAAAAGTATTAATGAATTTAACACATTTAATAGACTTTTATTGTTGTAAATCCTTTTTTTAACAGTTTTGTAAAGGATTTAGAGCTTGGAGTCTCTATAAAAAAATATTATTTACTAATGGATTATGAAAGGAAAATATGTTATTACGGTATATAAAATTAATTACGTTAACGAGTTGGGAATTTCATGTCTGTAAGATTCCTCAAGGAGCATAATGTACGTAGCATATTTAGCGCTGAAATACACCGGAGAATGCGTTGTTTTTCTCTCTCTCTCTCTATCTTTCTCATTTAGAGTCCTTGGCGAAATGAATATTGCGGTTTCGTGGAAGCTGGAAGAACTATTAAATTAGGTCTGCGCGTATGAAAAATACGGCCAAGTTAATGAAACCCTCGGATTTCCTCGGAGGGCTGTGCTCTTTAATAGAGATTCCCGTTGCATGCACGACCTTTTTATAAATAAATGAAGAAAAAAAATGCCGAAGAAAAGAGGCCGATCTCGACTGAAATTATCCTCAAAGGGAACGACAGATGCACAAAGAAATACGTGGAAAAAGTAAGGATTTTTAGCAGAATTGTGTAATTTTTTTTATATGAATTTCATTATTCAGTTTTTAATTAACATCTGTATTTAATCTGAAGATATTTTATGGAAGTATTATTTTCAGAAGCAAATATAAATACAATTTCGGTTCATTGAATGAATATTTTACTTAAAATCAATAAATTAATATGATACATATTTCATTCCTAAATTTATTTTAACTACTGCAGATTACAAATATAATAATTTTATCAGTAACAAGATAATACAGCAATGCTTTCCAATAGTGCGGCTTTGATCTGTCCGGATTCACTATAGCAAGGATTGAAAATTTCAAAACAAACTAAACTTTATTTATTAGGTATTTCTGTCACCTTGTGTCAAAGTTTTTTGCATGTCTATCAAAATATTTCCTTTTCTGTTCTTGTCCAGTTTTCAACAATTTTGGCCATAATTTATAATCTCAATGAATAATTTATATTATTCTTAATTTTTAATAATATAAAAAGATAAATATTGAATGTTTCTGACTGTTGAATTTCAAGTTGAAGTTTTTGATCATCTAAGTTAGCTTTTAAGTTAAGTGATATTATTTTACTTTCTTCGAAAATTTTGAGCCTGAAGAAATAAAAATTATTGTCTAATATAATGTCCAAAGATTTATTAATTTGTTTGTAGTTCCTTCCTACTTTTTTCAGAAACGTCGAAAGTAGTTTGAATCAGCGTTTCTCAACCTTTTTGCCGTATTTGTTTGTAGTTGCACTGCGACCCAATTTCTAAGAGTGTTTCACCAGTTCGTTGCTTTGACACAAGGTGACAGCTGTCATTTTGCAACCCTTAATGTTATTTTAATTTTGGGTTATGACCGAAAGGTTGAGAAACACTCTTTTAAATTATGTTTTCCAGAAATTTAGTTCCTTTACTATCTAATGAAATGCTATGTGAAGATAACTCAATACATAATAAGTAAATACTATTAGAATGTGCTGTGGATGTGTATAAAGTTAGAAGATCATCGATAAATTTACAATGATATTGATTCAGTTCATAACGAAAGATATTGTGTGAACAGTAAATATATTGTTGGAATAGCAAACACAGAAAGTAATTTATGTTTGATATTATGCGAGCAGTTTGGAAGTGCATGAAAGCATTTCTAAATTTAGGTTAAATGTAGGGAAGGGCACACGAAATAATTTGAGGCCGCCGGCGATGAATTATGTAATAAGTTGGAATAATATTGAGGAAGAAAATTGAAGTTGTTTGTAATCGGCAGAAAAGTTTGGAACAGGAAGTGGCGTTTATCGATTCTAACACATTGGACCGGTCCAAGGAAACGGGTCTGCAGATCCGCAACTCGAGATTAGTTCAAGCGTAATAATTTGCAAACGATCGAGGCATTACGGCGATTTGTAGTTATTTAATTTTTCAGTTGGATAAATTATGATGATAGTGTAGTCGCGTGCTGCAAGTTATTAGTTAGTTGGAAGAGTTAGTTAGTTGGGTGGATGGATAGATGAGAATGGTAATGGAAGTGCTTGTTATCGATCGATGTTGCATATCAAAGTTGTGCAATGGATGGAAGTTTGCGTTAATGGTTGTATTTGATTTTCGGTTGGAATTAGAACTGGAGTAGAACTAGACTATAATTTATTGAAAACTTATTGAACTATTAAAATGTCGTTGACCAAAAGTGGGGGACGGACGCGTTTCTGGTTCTATTGATTGTCGGATTTGCTGGGTGGCTTGCACGATGGCTCCGTCTGGTGTCGTCGGGTTCCGGCGTCGGTTGTGAATGCGTCGCGACGCTCACAGAGCAGCGCTCGCCGGATCGACGCTCTGCCGTCGCGTGCGGTCGTTGGATATGGATATGGAGAGCATGTAGAAAGGTGCTGCTGTTGGATTTGGATGTTGAACGTTACACACACGACGACGACGCCGACGACTACGAAGATGGTTCTCTGCTACTCCTGTTCGAATCACGGAAGAAGACTCCTCTGCTGAGAATATCCACCTCTGGCCTAACCAAATTGTTATGAGTTGAAGCCGATCGTCGATGGACTTTGATTCTCCCGAAAGGTACAACAAAACAGGCTTGGCTCTCTCCTACACATTTACACACATATATAACTACAAAACGTACATCCGTGCACACACACATTCATGCATATACATATATACGTGCACACTACACATCCTTGCATAGACCGCACCAACACACCGGTAATGAAACTGGGACAGGTTAAATTTTTCGCTTTAATTGGATCACACCGCTCTATCGATTCGGGAATTTTTGATTTAACTCCCCTCGAAACACGAAAGAAACACTCATCAATTCCCTTCAACGTTCAAAACCCAATTATAGATTTATTTATTTACTTTGACACAACGCCAAATCTATTAATCTCCGTCCTCCTTTTCCTTCTCCTTCATCCGTGCAGCATCGAATCAATGCTCGTACTACTACTATACTACCACCGAATAAAAAAACGCCGAGACAAAAACAACAACAAACTCATCAGACCGACCTAATTGCTAGTCATATAAAGATTAGTTGGGAGTAGAGGAGTAGTAAATAACACGCTGTTTTACAATTGCTAAAGGCAAACATGTCGTTTACGTAATTCGTATAATTGAGGTGTACTCGATCGACGTCAGAATAATTAAAGTAAAATCGCCAGTTGCACCTGAAGCTGCATCACGTAAACACATCATATATATTCCATCTAGTGTCCATTAAATAATATGCTCAATCGCTGCTTCTCATATTCGCACTGCTCTCTCAGTTAGTGTTTACGATTATTATTATTATTAAACTATTTGTATGCTTTTTTTACTTTGAACCACCACAACCAATCATCACCAGCGAGTGAATCCCCAGTAGTGTGAATCATCATGTCATCATCACCTTCTGGAGTCCCCGCCGGTGCCCCAAATCGTCGGCAAAAGCGCATGGGTCCGGCCCCGTTTGCATCCTTCGAAGACCTCTCGGACGAGGTGAGACGCTATCAATTATTCTGTAGGCTAGATAGATGTGATGAGCAAAACCCGTACTGTAACGTGTTGCATCCGTTGAGCTCCGGTATCAACAGGTTTTCTACATTCGAGCCCTAAAGAAGTTTGCAATTAATTTTGCAGTTGGACAGTCCGGAGGATAAGGCGACTTCGGGGTCTGTGGTTCGACTGCCCGGAATACGGGAGGACATCACGCCGTTGTCTCCTGCCGTGCAGAACCAATTTGTCTACACCGGGATCAGTCTGATTGGTGCCCCGTCGACTCCGACCATGGCGACGGCGAAGAGCATGCTGGAAACACCGGCCGCACCGAGAATCGATATCTCCAGGGCAAGCAGCAGCTCGCACCACGACAGCAAGGACAGTAGTCCGGAAAGGGAATTGATGAAGGACCAAGGGAAGGGTTTAGGATTCAGGGAGGAGGGAACGTTGGATCTGAGGTCGTCCACCGAGGAATTGGATTTTCAGATTAAAGTGCGACCTCATTCGCCGGCACTGCAGGAGGACTCGTATCACAGTCACCATCGAAAGGATTCGCAGAGCTCCGAAGTGGGTCTTCTTTGTATTTCAGGACGCACATCAAGATTGTCCAGTATCGGGAGTCAAGGTTCAGCTCACAGCAGAGTCTCTAATGCGAGCCATCTGTCCGTTATATCTGGTCAGAGCGGCGTCTCGAGATCTCCATCTCCGCACAAAATGCTCCTCGAGACATCGTTCTGCGGTACGAAACCTCAAAAGAACAAAGAAGTTCGGGGCGAATCCAAAGACGAATTGGAACGGGTTCTGCTCAAAAGGAAACACGACCCGACAAAGGCGATGCTCTGCGAAGGAATCGTCGTCAAAGTCGAGGAAGCGCCACCGACAAAAATTGAACTGCCAAAGAGACCGGAAATTACGATCAAGGTCGACAAGCCCACCCAGGATAAACCCAAGATCCCCAAACACATTATCAGCGATAGCGGGACCGAGTACATTTATATCCCACTAAGAGGACCACTCCCCGAAGACAATTCCAATGGGAAAACAAAAGTACGTGAAACGAAATCTGTTACAATACCAACAAGCCCAAAAGAAGTACTCAGCACGAGTAAATCAAAATCTGCGTCACCATCTCCTGTTGTTAGCAGGCATCAGAATCTATGCAACGATCCCAAATATATCAGGATCAAATTAAAGCCGGACCACTTGTACGACGACTTCGACAAGATAGAGTTCCAGAAGCCAGACACACTGGACTTTAACAATCCAAAGAAACCAGCTCAAACCTTCGAGCAGATCCTCGCCTACCAACCGACTCCAACGGCAAGCCCAAAACATCTTACCCCTTCTCCGTCCCTTTCGCGCAAATCCTCCTTTGCATCCTTGTTTAAAAGTCGCGAAACCATTAGTCCTGAATCCCCAACCACAAACACGAGCCGTCGAAAAAATACGTTAACAGGTTTAGGTGAAAAGCTCAAGGAGCGACGCCGGAGCCGCTCGAAAAGTCGAGAACGCAGTGCAGGGCCCTCATCGAGCGAGAGCATTGACAGTAAGGGCCGCCAGAAATCGATGTTCTCTCTATTCAAAACGAAGAAAACTAGCCAAAACAGTTCTCCGGACTTACCGAACCTTGAGGGCCTGGTAAACGTTGAGTGCAAATCGATGCCAAAGAAGAAGTATTATGAAACTCAGCTGGAGGGTGACAGCGTTAGAATACCGCTGCATTCACCAACGTACTACGAACAAAAGAACATCCTGCAGGAATTCAAATCTTCTAGTCAAGACTCGCAGGAAACTGTCATCGAAGTGCCGCAGAAGCAGACTGACGAAAAGAAGAAAGATTTCCGCCAGAGCAGCACCAGCAGCGAAAATATTGTATTCTCCACAAGACTTGGAAGCAGCAATGAACTTTTTTCCACAAAATTACCCAAGGACAAAAACTCTGAAGTGACAACTGCGATTGTCGAAACGATTAAATACGAAGAAGAAGAAGAGACGAAGGTGCTGGTCGAAAAGAAGCGTTCGACCCCGATAGAACAGAAAAAGGAAATACCGGCAGAATTTCAAAATGCATTTGAACCAACCACGATTATACAACCCATCAAGAAGGAATCGCCAATCATTTCCAATGACATTTCGATAAAACCCAACGTCAAATTAGACGAATTCGATGTTCCAATGTTCGAGACACAATTCAATATGGAAAAACGACAACAGTCGATAGATGAACTAAAATTGTCCAAAGCAGTAGGATTGAAACTGCAAAAACAGAAAAGTATTACTCCGCCGGAGGCCGTAGTTACAGAGAGAACTCCGGACTTCGAAATTCATGTACAAATAAGGAAAGCTGCAAAACCGGAAGTCATTCAGATGGTAACGAAGGAAGATGAAATAGGTTTGGCTAAAATGGAAGAGCGCCAGGTACGAGATGAACTGGAGGACGAGGAAGGGTATTCGTCTGAGTCTGAGAGAGACTCCGAGGTGGATAAGAAGGAGATTGCAGAGGCGATCGAACCGGAGCGGAAAGGTCTTGTGCTACAGCAAGATTCGTTTGAAGATGAACTTCCGTATATCCCAACGACACTGCCTCAAGAACGTTCTGTTGCTGTACCAATCATCCCTGTAAAGCAGCGTAACACCTTCGAAATGAAAACGTGCCCGATAGATAGACCCAGATCCACGACACCCATAAATCCTACATGTCTCGAAGATTACTGCGAAGAGGTGATAGGAAATATCAACACGGAAAACATCACCAAAACCATCGAGAAGTTGAAGATTTGCTTACCGCGAGAAGACAGCTGCGATAAACCGAAGGATAGATCTCCTCGCAAGGTGAGCACCGGAAATTGGTTCGACTTTGGGAAGACGAAAAAGACACCCGAAGAGGCCCCACCATTGCCACCGAAGGCCGGAATCGTTCAAAAAGAATGGATCAATTTCGAGGAGATCCCGGAAAAGCGGAAGCCTCCAAAGAGGATTCAGACGATTCCTTCGCGCGGACAGATCGAGGTGCCGAAGAACGTGTTGCAAGAGAACGTTATTTACACGTACGTCAATCCGGAAGACTGCAAGTGCGAGTGCCACGAGAGGACGCAACATCCGACCAACGAGGAACCTGTCATGGAGGACGAAGTCCCTTTAATCGAGGACGATACTAACGACGACGATAAAACAGGAGCGACAATCGATAAAGTTAAACTTGATGTAACTATTTTAGATAGGAGAAGTATTGTTAGGTGAGTGCATCCATACATTTGATAGGAATGTATTAATAAATTAATTGTCAATTTCAGTGATTCTTCTGTGGACTTAAGTGCCAACATCGACCATGCGGATGCCAACGGAATTGACCATTCGCTCCGAACTCCTTTCACAAGTGACTTAGGAATTTCAAGCAATAGATCGAGCATTATATCGCAGGTATTTTACTACTTCACATCTGCAAAGAAATGACAAATTCAAAGACCTCTTTATTATTTTCAGGATGATGCGCAATCGCCCGACACAGACTCGCCAAATGCCTTTCCAAAAACCTAAACTCAATCATATTTTCTATGTCTTTTTCTGCCTATTCTTACGGTGTAACAGGAGTAAAAATAATTTTTATCTTCGCCGATGGATTTTTAAATACACACATATATATCTAAATGTATATGTATATACCAGTAGTCATTACAGAACCAAACTATGTGCACCCCCTTCCAAATCCACGATACAGATTTGCGGACTCACGAGAGTCTCTGAAACGAACGTGATTTTTGTTTGCTTTTTCCTCTCTAGATGTGTCTCAATGTAAAAGAACTAAACTAAAAATCGACTAGCCATTTCTCTTATTTTTTATCTCTCTTTCTCGATATTATTAAACAGGATAAGGTATTCCGAATAAGTGTGTGTGTTTATGTACATAGGCCTACAGTTCGTCTTGAAGTTTTAACAAAAAAAAAATAAGAAGGAATTAAAGAAAAAGAAGTAAAGGAAAAGATTTATTAAGTAATTCATAATCATTACAAAAAAAAAAGAAGGGGAAGAGCGGAAATGAAAAATTGTTATTGTTGTTGAAGAAGTCAAAAAGGAAATGATTGATTGATTATTGAAAATGGAGTATATTGATATTATATTTATATTTTCTAGAGTTATTTTGCTGTTGAAATTGTTATCGTTCCTAAACTTGTTTCTTATTTTTACGTTCTCCTTTTGAGTTTTTGTCTGTTATGATGGAGGATCCTTCTCACATATGTAACTATTATCAATAACACCGGATTCGTTCCGTCACTCGCCAGGTATCATAACTTGTCGCTTACCAATGTTTATATGTTTGTTTATGTTACGGTTTCATTTCTTACATGTTTTTTTATATATTTCTTGTCTTGTGTCATAACCGTCATTCGATGAACAAATTAAAAAAAATGAAAGAAGTACATTATATAGTATTAACTACCATTCACGCGAGGAGAAACTGAATAACTTTTATTGTACAGTAATTATACATTCCATCAATAAAAATGAAACTATGGATGTTTATTAAATACCTGCATTTTATTCAATTAAACCCAGTATAATTTAAATTACACATTTATTTATAAAAAAGAATCAAGTTTTACTTTACCTAAAATATTTTAATTATATTAAATTTAGTTATATTATTATGTTTATTTTTTGCATCGAACTGTATAAATTAGAAAATTATTGCAATAGATTTTTGTAACAAATCTAAGTTCTAAATATTAGATTTGTATTTAAAACTTTTATTTCTTTAATTTAAATTATATTTTTAACCTTGGAGGTGATTGCAAGTTAAAATAAAAAATAGTTGTTTAATCATTAAACAAAACACGAAAATTATTCTATTCACCGTAGTTCATACAAAAACATATGAAATCAGTAAGTAGTTAAAAATCTTCTAAATATTAATAATTAATTAACTTTTATATAATATAATTATTAGTTGCTACTTCTATTTTGGTCGTTGCTTCTGCTATTAGCAGTAGCCTTCTTATATCTCTCGTCGGAAGTGGCAGATATGCTGAAGAGCAAGGGAATTACGAGTACACTTTTCACACGGATGACGGAATCTCTATGGACGAACATGGTTTGTTGAAGAATGAAGGATCGGAAGATGCCGCACATGATGTTGTTGGCTCTTACGAATACACGGCTTTCAACCTAAAGCCGACTACTTGCCTACACTACCACCAATTCCAGTTGATATCCAAACGACTCTTGACTATACCACAACTATAAGGACATAATTTTGAAATGATATAAATGTTTGCATATATGTAAAATTTGTAAAAATATATTGAATATCAGCAATAATACAATATATGAAATTTATTTTTATATTCACTAAAGTCTTTCTTCTGTACCAATTTCCTCCATACAGTAATAGTTGTATTAAGTAATATTATGTTATTTTTATATATTAAATAAAAGTACTTCACATAGTACTGAAAACAATATTCTGGACTATTTGAAACTAGGCTAATTGCTGAACTAAATACACAAAAACTATAAAACAATAATTTTGTATACTATTTTATAGAATTTATTTTATACTGAATCCGAGCTGATTTAAGCCCCACAATTCGAGGTATTAAAATATTTAATATTAATAAAATAGCATTTTTACAGTTATATTAGGTGAAATTGAATTAAAAATTGTAATAATAATAATGAAACGCAAAAGTAGTAGCAATAAATAGACTCTAAATTTACGAAGGAGACAAATACTAATAAGTTGTAATCATATAGAGATTTGTTATATAATCGTGTGTTTTACGTAATATAAGAGATTGGAGAAATGCTTGACCGCAGGATTTGGTTAAATTAAATTAATATGCCCCAAGGATTTGGAAAGGAAATACACATAAACACATTTGAACCAAAGAAATCTAATTTTACAAAAATCGAACGTAAAATGAATATTAAATTTTAGATTGGAATAATAATTAATAATAACACGTATGGTCCAGTTAATATTTTAGATATTTAGATGTTATAATATATATTCATAAAATAATATTTTCATGTACGTATTTTAGTATTTTTCTTTAAGGAAAGACCAAACTATTTGTTATAAATGTATCAGTTTGTAAATTCAAGAAATTGTGTATAGAAACAGTTGATAATATCTAAGAAATGTTTAGAATACATCTTACAATAGATTTTCAAATGTATTCAATAAATGAGAATAAATTTGTATTATTGAAAAACTTAGATTAAACATAAATCTTAATTATCAAAACAATAGAAATTTAAGAATAATCACAAGAAATAATCTAAATCTATAATTTTATTTAACTTTTATGTTTTAAAAACTTTAAAGAAAGGTTCATCAATTACTCATGACTTCAGAAAGCTGTAGATTTAAAATTTCTTATTTTATTATAATTTCAGTTAAGAACATTAATAGATTTTTTATCTATTTAATTTTCTATTCTTGTTACATTTTAAGAAATTTCCAGAGCAGAGCACCATCAAATACATTATGAATACCATCTCTTCATGCGCATGTTTTTCCTTATTGACTTTCGTCCTCAATTCTAATAATATCATCATTATATATTTCGTATATACAAGGTATATCTGTAATGTTCCAATAATTTGCATAGTTTATTTATTAATTACATATTTTCTACATAGATCAATATTGTTGTAATACATTTCAGATCTCTTGTTTCACAAATTATAAGTAATCTTGATACATAGTTTTTTTATAGTTTATTTTATGTCATGAAAAAATGCCAATTAATAATTATAAAGTACTTAATCTTCTATTCTTCTTAATTCTGACAATTATAAATTAATCAAATATGTGAAATCACAATTTCAAATTTCACAGATGGTAAGAAAAGAACAAGTGAATTTTAATTGTTTTATCAAGATCTTAAGTTCAATTTTATATTCAGTACTGTAAATTGACATTTTATTGTCTAAGTTTCTTGGATTTAATAAGATAATACCAATAAGTTTTTATCGTTAACTTTAATGAAGATACTGAATTTTTGCTAAGACAGAATCTAACATTGTCCTGAGTTCTCATCTATTTTGAATTTGTAGTCCTGTAGGTACAAGAGCGGACCGTAAATTTTGGGGACCCTCGGCTGACATTGGGTGCTCTGAATTAACATTGTTTGGGGCCTTAGACTAACTTTCTTTGGGGTCCTCATACTGTTTGACGTTTCTAGACAAACATTTTTAGCTGTCTGGACATGGATGCTTTGGCAAGTATCTGCACTTTATCGCAAAGACGGAAGACGAAAGGTGCTGGTACTGTGAGTAGGACGATATCTCTGTGCACACGCTTTTTAGATGCTGCAGAAGGGTTGGAAGGCCCTCGACCAACGCTGTTTAGTTGTAGTTTTCATTTAATTTTTAATCGTAAATTAGTCTCTGGGCTGCATCTATAATTGCCATTGCACTTCTTTATTATAGTAATGGAGTAAAGATGGAATTTGTGGAAAGTGGAAGGTGGAAGGATTTTGTTGTAATTGAATAAAAGCAAGGAGTATTTTAAATATATTACTATATTTTCCAATTTGGACTTCCGGTCTTATAAGAACATTCAACGAGTGAATGAAAAAGGTGTCCAATAAATACAAATTACACAAATTTGCAATATTAAAGCACGCAGGTTGGAGCAGAGACGTCGACGAGGAAAGTCCAAATCGGAAGATACACATAACTTAATTTATTACAATTATACAAATACACAACGTTAACCTGTTCTTTCCGTAATTTAGTGATGCAGATTTTTGTTCTTCACAATATAACATTCATGATATTTATTTACATAAGCGAATTCGCTAAACAAAAAAAAAAAAAATATAATAATCAATAAAAAAAAGGGAGCATGAATTATCTACACGTAATATAATAATATAATATATATATAAAAAAAAAACAAAAAACCATTTAAAAGTAGTATCGAAAAATATTTACAAAAAGATTTTGGAACCGTTATTTCTTCTTTTTTTTTTCTTCTTCAAACATTTTCTTTCCTCTTCCGTTGTTTTCGTGAGCAACTCTTCAGAGAATAATTCAATTGAAAGCCATGCAATAATCGTGTGAAAACTGTTTAAACATGTAATAGGATCCGGACCCGCGCCGAAACCTCGACCGTTTCCAAGCAGAATCCATGGCACGCGAAGTGTCGAGGTTCCGACACGATGGCAAGAAAAAAAAAATAAAATTATAAACCGAATTACAAATTACAATTTGAAGAGGACACAAATTGTGTGTGTGTTTGGCTGTGCGTGTAAAGAGATAGAGAAAACAAAATATATAGATTGTAGGAGAGTAATAGTAACTAATTATTTACAGAGCAATTAAATTAATAAACGAAATGCGCTAATAAAGTACAAAATAATTAATAGTAATAAGAAACTATTTTACAACATGCGTTTTTTTTTCACTTCATGTTGTTTGTATAAAAAAAATATATGTAAAGCTAGAGAAGTCAATTTAATTTCTCTGTGTTCGGTGTATGAAAGCTTCATTGAGTTATTTTTTGTTTGTTGTTGTAGTTTTTGATCTCAATTTGTGCAAAACTATTTGAAGCGTGTGTTGGTAACTTGAAATTGAGTACTAAAAAGCGCGCGCTATTTGAACGATATGATTTTTTTTTGTATATATTTAAAGTTTTTGCTGGTGATTTGATTGAATTTGGTCGTTCATAATTTTTGTTGTTGTTAACAAGGATGTTTGTTTTTCTTTTCGAAAAAGTTTCGGTCACAAGTTGGGGCAAGCAACTTAGATGAGGGCGGTCACCAATCGGGCCTTGAAGTTGACTATCCTCTCGCTGGTTTGAGCTAAGCGCTGTTAAACATAAGAAGAAGATGTGTTAATTTTAATTGTTTTTGTTATTGTTGAAATTTTGAGTTCTTACGAGAATCAAGTCTTGGACCAAGTTGGCGAGACCGCGGTTGGCCAAAACGAAGAGCCTGGTGATTGGTCCGGGAACTCCTTCGGTGTAACCGTCGGCTCCCTTGGCAACGTCGATTTCAGCTACTCCACCTGGTCCAGCTGGAGAGTTGTCCTTCTCGTCAGATTCCTCGGTCGCTCCAGATCCAGCCACCAACTGCAAAAACATCCGCAATCATTAGATTAAATGCTGAATACGAATCGCGGGATTGCATCAAGCTATTTACACGTAATATTTAATATACATCAAGCTGTGCGAGTATCAATTATACAATAATCGTAGCCTCAACAATTTGTTCAAGGATTCGCTCCCATTTAAATGTCATCGACGGGTTTCGTGACATTTCCACGCATCAAGAATGAATGAAGCTTCAATTATGTAATTCTCGATCGTCGATAAAGAAAGTCACCGGACGATCGATCAAGGCAAGAGTCGAAGGAGAAAGCGCTCATCTCCTTTCACATTAAACACATGCTTATAGAGTCGCGCATTTAGAAGAGGAGACGGAAATTATTAGGTTTAGCGCAAAAAAAATAATCGCTAATTGCGCAACAGATCGAAGAAAGTGTTTAGACAATCGAAATACCGACGTGCGCGGTATGTTGCATAACGGAGGACGCGTTTCTTTTTATATTATTATATGTTATTTTTTTATTTTGTTTCCTTTTTCTTTGCTTGAGGCGGAACCCGTGGCAAAATTCGATCTGGAATTGTCATTGGGTAACGACCCACGTGTCGTGTGGACGCATTTACATAAGTGGGGTAAAAGTGAACGGATATTTATGTGCCCTCGCCTTCAGTCCAAGAAGTCTCCGCTCCAAATGGTTTCTGCAGCATTCCACGCACTTTTATCATATACATTTTATATTTAAAGAGCGTGTAATTGTAATTATATCGGATCGCCAATTGCCCTCGCATAATTAGAGAATTATTATTACATGGCATTTTGTGCGATTATGACCGAGCACATTACATTCGCCATGAATCGCAATATTTCTACATGTAATTCATAGTTAAAAGTTAAAAAAAAAGACGAAGAAATATAACTAATAATTGCGGATATCTGCTTCAGCTCAGATTTCATTGAAATTATGCAAAACTGTTACTTATAAGTATCTTCATATTTCTCAAGAAACATTCGTTTACATTGACTTTAATACTCAGTTGTTAGCAATGATTCCAACAAATTAATTCCAATGATTCCAATTAATTAATTTTAATAACTCAATATAGAAAATGCATGATTTTATTCTTTAAATATTATCCTTACATTTAGCATATTTTACTAATAATAAATATTAATAATTACTAGTTATATAATAAACAACGTTTATAAGAAATTAGATACAATAATAAAAGAAAAATGAAATTTAAGTAAGAAAGAATAAATCAATAGAAGAACGAATAAGAAACTGAAGAGTTCTATATTGAACAAATTATAGCAAATTAATGTTATAGATGAATAGATTCTTCTTAATGTAAACAATTTAAATGTTTTAGATTTATTCAAACTCTGATGATTATTTTAAAATTTATAATTCTAATCAGTTTTTCTATCAGTTGTGTGCGAAATCTATTGTTATTACTCTTTTATATTAATATTTTTAACCTGTGTTAACTTTATTAATCACCAAATCAAGTAATTTCCGTAACACACATTGTTTAACTTTTGATAGCTGTCATATTTTAATATTTGTTTAAATATATTAATTGCTTCAATAAAACTAATGTTTTTCTAACTGATTCATTAACTTTCAAAATTACTATCTTTTTTACTTGATTTTCTAGTTGTAATTATGATATGCTAAATAATTGAGTCAATTTAATAAAAGTAATTTATTGTAAAATATTATTATTTAATTCATTTACTAATTGGATAATTATTACTCTATTTAGAGATAATTGCAATTTCTTTCTACAACTTGAACATTTCTCGTTTTCTAATGTATTAGTTCTATAATTATCGTTTATTATATAAGAGCGTAATTATAGGTATCTTGTTTGATATTCAAGAAAGTATTCGAACTTCAATTATTATTATGCAACAATTATAAATTATTTCTAATCAACTATAGTTTTCATTTAATTGAAATATACTTTTTGTTTGTAATTGTTTTTCTTCAAAGATTACTACTTCTACAATTCTACTTTTGTCTACTTATACACTTACCTTTATCACTATAGTACCAATAATTAAGTGAGCGGAAATATTGATTTATTGCATAATTTATTCGGGTTGAAAAGTTTCATTTAATAATAATTTCCTGATATGCTTTGATTACATGTTATTGTATACCTGGTCTTACCAATTCGTGTTCGCAGGTTTGATAATAATAAATTGTAATTAAGTCGATTATGAATGCAATTACGACTGACATATTTATGGAAAAAGTATTCTGGTCTGTTTGTGTGTCTGTCATGTCTGATAGAAAGGTAGGAACTTAGTTTGGAAACATTTTAGTCATAGGAATGAAATAGTATTAGCATAACATTTTTTTTTCCTGTTGTCTTCACTCCTTTGAAGATGATTAGATGAATGATCAAAACCAATAGAGTTAGATATTAGGTTCATCCTTATTATAGTAATGAAAAGTATATAAGATTAAATACATGCTTGATGGAAAGTTTAGATTATGTAAGTTGAATGAAAATAGAGAATTATAACATTTAATTTTTGATCAAGAAACCCAGTTAAGAGAGATAATGAACACTGGTTATTAATTGTTAGGTTAGATTGTTTTTATTTTAATTATTTAAAATACAGATGTAACTTACCAAAAACGCAAGAAATGAAAGATTAGAAGAGTTTCAAACAAAAATAGTGCTTGATTCAGACATGACAAATCAACGAAAAACCGTTTCACGATCAAGTTAATATAGATATAGTTGCGTACAATTCAAGCACTATATTCGTATTTACAGCTTATAAATTTTAAAATGAGAGTAATAATATAAAAAATAATGGTCGAAAGTGATTTTGATGTCGCTGTATGTACAAGTTAGTAGAAGGTGTAGATTTCGTTTTTGTGTGCTTTATACAGTTGGGTGAATCGAGGCCGAAGTGAAATGCTGCAGTTGTTGCTTTTTCAAAACAAACAAATTAAAAAAAAAAACTCTAAATAAAAACTGAGTGATAAAAAATATAGAGTGCCACCAAGAAACCAAGCGAAAAGTGCACGAAGATTGGATGAAAATATTAGGTGATGTGTATCTCGAAAGAAGATCTTTTTAACCATCGGTTTGTTTCGTTACATTGTCGACAAATTGTGTGAAAAAAAGAGATTCTTTCGATGGTGAGTTTAATTCTAGATGAAGTTATCTTTTTTTTTTTTAATTTTTGGGAGAGGCGGGGATGGGGTTAATACCTGAGGTGTCAATGTTCTAGTCGCTGTGGATGTAGCTGTAATCGCTAGTCCCGAATTTTCTGTGCCTGTTGCTATTCTGTAAACAGTTCCAGCGGCTCTTGCAGCTCCATCGGCGGTGCGCTAAACACCACAACAGTCACCTCTTGTACAAAAGATCGTCCACAAAATTTCAATTACATAACAAATCAAACAAAAACAATAATAATAATTATTATTATTGAAAAAGTAACAAACAAACTAAAACAGGAGCAAGGTTGAAATACTTTTCCTATTTACTAAATCTCCAATAAACTTTCTTACAATTCGGTGTAAATTGCGTAACTATTTCAAGGTGGATTGCGTAAGCTAATCAAATGCGTTTCGCGTTTTTGAAAAATAAAAATGAAATATTTATAAAAAAAAATGGAACGCATGTTTATGAAAGTTTAGGAATTATTAATGAGCGAATGAGTGTGGAAAAATATATTTATATTGGAATAGGCCGTTTCGCGTTGCGTCATTCTCGACTTTTAGATTGTGGTTTGCAGTCGAAGGGCATTCGAAAGAATTTGCGTATTAAAAAAAAAGAAATAGACTTTACGTTCACCTGTAGAGTTCAAGTCAATAATTCATAAGTGCAATTGGAAAGTAATTTCTTTAAGTTTTGTTTTTAAATTTTGGTGGAGGTGCCTGGTTTTATCCATATTCAGTGAAATATAAGTCAATATTTTCACTTCCATATTAAATAATTTAATTGATCAAAAACATATTGAAATTATTATTTTATTCTATTTCTAAATTAGATTAGACTGATTTAATTTATATTTGAAAAACGATTTTTTGTTGTAAAAGTAAAAAAATTATTGAAGCTACAATATCTTATTCAAACGATTTTCGTTATAAAATTGATAACTTTTTCAATAATTTAAATTATTGTTTCATAATTATTATTTGATTCAATATAATTATATATATTATAACATTATCAGATTTACAAATGTAATTAAACGAATTCAATTAAAATTAGTAAAGAAAATCTAAAATTTGTCAACAATAAACATTTATAAAAACTTATGCAGTTTTAACTAAAATATAAAAAGTTGAATTCATACATTTTCTGGTAAGAAAACTAATAATTTCACATAAACTATTAGTTCGTTATATAACTGATAAATTGGGTTAATTAAAACTTTTCTAATCTGATTGAGAATTAAAATAAATCAATGGGGGAAATAGTTACGATTTTGATATGTCATTAGCAAAACATTAGAGAAGTGAATGTGTTTTGAACGGAGTATGACTTTGCTTTAAAATTGTTTTAGTGTAAAATCGATTAACCTTAGCAAAGTAATAATTCCAAAGCAAAAGTGGATTTATATATTGCGTCAATATATTACATCATACGTTAAATTCGTTATTGAATAATTTTATCATGATAAGGATTAATGTCGAAATATGTATAAATCAATTTGATTTTATAATCTGATTCAGAAATAAAATAATATTTGTAATTAATAAGCCGATAGAAAATAATAAATATGACTTTTTATTGAGATTGTTTTTCTGCAAAATCGATTAACCTTAGCAAAACTATTAACTGTTATAGGAAAAGTGGAGTGTAAATATGTAGTAGCATGACTGGTTGTTGCAGTGTCACGAATCCGTGATCAAGATATGGAGCAAAGGAAATGAAAAACACAAGACTCGTTGACATGTGCTTTTGATCTGAACTCCCCTTCGTCGCCTACTTAGTGTCCGAAAGTGTACCAAACGGTCACACATTTAGTTTTATTGTTCGTTCCTCTCCTGTCTCGTATCCACAATCCAGTCATGCAACGACCAGCAGCATTACTTTCACCGTATTCAATAAGTACGTGCTTTGGTGCACGACTTGATGTTTCTGCGGGAAGAAAAATCGGTGCGTACTAGTTCTGAAGTGAATCAGTACAAATGCCGCCATTGATGATTGAAACTCTTTGCGTTTATTTTGAGTTGAAGGAATAATGATGTATTATTATTATTTTTGTTTGTATGTTCGTTTTGTTTGTTCATTTATCAAAGGGAAATTAGAATGTGTTTCTAGTCTAATACTAGGAAACTTTCCTGCGGTTTCGCAATAATTACCGTTTATAATTATTCAAATCATAGGTAGGTACCTACACATAAATATATTTATATACATAGATTATTTATTAAATCAATGCGTGAAGAAAAGTAAAACTAAAGAAAAAAAATAATAATAATTAAAAGACGTATAACATATTTGTACATAATTAAAGAGATAGCGAAAATCGTTAAGGCGAACTTACAGATAATAATAAATGCTACACACTTATGATTGAACCTTTTACCTGGCCTTAATATTTAAATGAGACTTTATTACGGTGATTGCGTATGAGTCTGATCTAGATGAGACATAGGTTGTTGTTTTTTTTTGTTCTTATTTATCTTTTCTGACTAACCAAAGTATCTACTAAGATGATTATGGTAACAATATATATATGTATAGTTTTCGATGGCACATAATCTTGGTGCTATTTTGCGTGAGGTTGTCCGTTATTTTACACGGCGTTGCTTACCCTGATGATGTCGAAAAGGAAGTTTCCGGATCCGCCTCCGGCATGACCACCGGAAGCGTGACCACCGAAAGAGCCTCCGAATGGCAGATACCTCTTGTCCCTGTCGGCGTCGTCAGCATCAACATTGGACAAATCATCGGATGGATTCGGTCCGTTTCCACCCGACGCTGCGGTCTCTTGATCATCGGACTGCTGGGCCTCGGCCGCCCTCACCACGCGAACGTCCCTCTTCTCTCTGCTCAACTCGCTCGGAGAGGACTGCAAAAAGGGGAAACAGAAAATAAGAAACGATTCGGAAACGGACGAAGCGGATCCCAACAAACATTAGGAAGCGTTTATAAATAATAAAAGAAACAGTAGCTTAGCGCAAGTCAGATGATTCGTCTTGTAAAACATATAATCAGAACGAGATGATGGTACACTTTATTCGTCATATAGAATACACAGATAGATAGAAAGATGAAATGTAGTTGTAAGTTGTTCCAAAGAGCTTTAATGTTTGGAATTTGATGATGATGATGGTGATGGACCTCCAGATAATCAAGATCAGAGTAACTAACAGCCAAATCGTAACATAAGTTTTGGTTTTTATCAGTCTTTAATTAAATACAAGCTAGATAAGAAAAAAAAAAAAGAAAAAACTTATAAACTAAAATTGTCATTGATTAATTGCGTTGCTTCAGTCTTAAGTATTATATAGAGTAATGCATGATTCTGGTTCCACACTAGTCTTTGGAGTGGAATGTTTTGTTTTTGGTAATGATGATGATCGAAATACTTCCATAGTTGTCCTGGAGGTGGAATTTCGTTCTGTATTTATTTTTTTTAATCTGATGTACTTTTTTTTTATGTATTACTTTGTTTGTTTAATTCGAATAGGCTATAAGGCTATGACTAAAATAAAACCAATCATACTGTGAACGGGGCCATTTCAGTACTCGTCTCATCACCGATTATGTTTTCTGTATCGAATAGGTTAATCCTATTATCTTCAATACCAATTTCGTTTTCGCTGATCTCTTTGACATCTTCACTACTGGCTTCTGTGGAAGCCACTACAGATTCGGTTGCACTACTAATTTCAATTGATTCGTCAGATGTCTGTTTCGTCGTAGTTTCCTTGGAATCAGAGGAATCCGCTATTTCGGTCGTAACCACTGTTTCGGTCGTAACGACTGCTTCGATCGTCGCATCAACAGCATCGGATTGTACAGAAGTCTTAACGGATAATTCGACTTCATCGGATTTAGTCACATCGACGGGTTGAAGAATCTCCGAATCAATAGCTTTTACTGTTGTAACATCTACTTGAACAACTTCGTCGGATGAAACTATGGGATTGCTGGTAATCAATTCGGCGGTGATATCTACGGAAACAATTGCTTCCTCGGATTTAACTTCTGGGACAGCTTCGGTCGTGGAAGTAGCGACATCGCTGACTATAGCTTCCTCGGAGTTCATGTAAATCAATTTATCGATCGAACTAACGGCTTCATCAACATTCAGACCGGTGCTAACATTGAGATCGACCGAATTAGGTAAGTCAACTGTTATCAGATCTTCGATTTCGCTAGGGGTTGTAGTGATCGCATCTTCGCTGGTTGTCTCGATGACGATCTTCAATGGATTGCCGTCGACTTCGGTTGTTGGTTCGACCTTAACAGCGGTAGCCTCTGATTCCTTGGGACTGTCCGATGTGGCAGTTAATCTAGATTCAATTGCACTACTAGCCTCGGTGGTTGTAGTCGAAGAGCTACCACCAACTTCGTTGGTATCTTCCTCATCATCGTAATCTTCATCTGGTGGGAAAGTTGGCAAAACTACGGTGACTTTGCTGGTAGAACCTCCTCCTGAGCTGCGGCTGCCGCCGCCCAAACCTCCGCTCTGCAGAACCGCCCTTCCGATCACTCGGAACGCGGTGCTTGTCACGTTTTGTATCACATTATCTATCACCTACGAAAAACGGTTGCTCATTAATACAATCAAATTTGTTTTCTTATTTCATCAACTTCAATTGCATTCGAAAACTCATCATGATATAAATATACAAGGTATGAATATACGAAATTGCTTTGTCCATATATAAATGACACTATTGATGTAAGAGGTATTATAAGTGAAGTATTCAAAAACATTAGTCCCATATTTTTGAATAATTCACTTCTGTAAAATACTTAAATGAAACAGATCATACCTTGTATATTTATCATTTTGCTTATAAAAACCTTATATCTATTAATGTTAAATAATTCATTTAAACAAATTATTTTCTACAATTTTCTTAAATTTTTCAAATGCAATTGGTTCTAACGAAGTCCCAACGAACTGATTGTGTAATATTTTTCTTCGCCCATTGAAATTTATGACAAATTAAGTTTTATTTACGATCAATTAGAAGTCGATGCGAATTAATTCTAATTGGCTTCGATCTAATTGAAACGGACCGAAGCAAATTGTCACACGATATTTACCATTATGCAAGACCGACGAAGGCCGTTGACACACCAGGAAATGAGTCTTAATTACCATCACTTTTTTTTTGTGAAAATATTGCATAATATCAAAACGAGCATAAGAGAAACAAAAACGTGTATCAATCAGTTCATCGGACAAATGAAAACGTATGCGAATATATTTACCTGGAATATTTGCGGACAGTACTGTCTCAACAATCTTATTTTACTATTAATGCCTTCGACGATATTCGTCGTTTGCAATCTCGTATTGGAACCACCGGACTGATTTTTGGTCGCAGAAAAAGCAAATAATCAAAATTAGCACAAGAATATTTTTTTTTTGTTGTCAACAATATTTTTTGGGAACAAGTTGATGTGATGATGTTTATAGAGGATCCAGTCGAGTCGTTCAAAGAGACTTTTGCGACGGAAAACTGCATGCACGGAATAAGACACTAAACGAAATACATACACAAATAGAACACAACAAAAAATAACAATAAATTTGATGAAACGATACAAAGATATATAGAGAGATACGCCAGAGGATGTTAAATAAAGAGATCGTTCATTGAATAACAAACATATTAGTAATAACATGCTCAATTGAAATACAATTGTATAATCACTAAGCTAGAAGAAAACTGGGAATTATGATATAAATAAATTGTTAATAAATATACGTATTAATTAAAGGCGATTAGTTTTGTTTCAAGCTTGGGTGAGCTCGTGGGGAAATCATTTGTTGTGTTAGATACATTCCAAAATCTGGATGAATGATTATCGATCTTCGGATTAGCAAACAACGTGCATCCTAAATGGGCGCATCGCGGAAGTTGCGTCGCGTGATTGTAATTTGCATAAATCAATTCATAAGCTAATTAACGCATTTTCCAAACCCATCAAGACGTAACGTCCGATTACATATTATATTAACAGATCAATTTCAGTAAATGAGTGAAATCCGTAACGAAATCCTTTTAGTAATGGTTTATTTCTAAACAAAATTTATTGTAATTGCTTGTCTCATAATTGATTTAGTGTTTGATGTAGATTGAGAATATGGAGCTAGTAAATTGAAAAGTACAGAGAGTAAATGACAGTTCAATGTCGTGTAAAGGAAAAAGAAAAGATTTATCACTTGAAGTGAGAATATATTCATTTTAAATTTATAGACAATTAATTGCAATTCAATATCGGGTATTTCAGAAAAAGTGAATTTATCGCACAAGAATTTATAACTATCGTGTTATGAATATTGTGTTATTAAAACTGTTGTCGATGAAAGACGAGGTGCTTGTTTTATTGAAAACGACAATAAATTTCGATTCGCGTGCAAATGGGATACGGTTTTACATGCAGGTGTCGTTCGCACAATGTTAAATTGTACATTTTTTCAGTTTAACAGCTTCGATTAACTTAACAGCCAATGCATCAAAACTCTTTTGCCGAGCAATAAATAAAACTGGTTTACTGGAGAAATCAACAATGAAACGACTTGGATCATCAGAAAATATTAATTATTATATTCTGAAGTCATTTATCTTCGGCATAGTTTGCAAGGATTTCTGCTTTTTGTTTGCTGAAGAAGTGGTAAAAAAAATGATGAATTTATTGCTGCATTCTCTTTTCATCTTCAAGAACAAATTGTACAACAGTTGGAATATTTAATTGAAATATTTATTACTTCATTTTATAAAATTATTAACAAATCAAATAGTTTTTACCAAAATATTAGAATATTTTTGTTGTTCGTAAATTTTAAATTCATTATTTCTAAAGCAAAGAAATTATTGAAGCAATAAATGTTTAATAATACATTATAACTGTTATAAAATACACTTTTTGTCAATTTGTCAACTAATAAGTATTATGAAAGTAAAATGAATTATTGGAGTAATAAAGTTTTAATAATCTGTAATAACTGTAGTAAATAGCTTATTTTTCATCAATTTGTATAACAAAAAAGATTAATAATTGATATGAATTATTGGGTAATCATTATTTTATAATATGTAATAACTGTTAAATTTGTTAATTTACGACATTATAAACTCATATTTTGAAGTTGAATCAAATAATTTTCAATTAATTTTATTGTAAATTTTCTCGTAATCAAACAAATTATTGATGAAATAAAGACTTAATAATATATAATAAGTATTGTAATTGCATATCTTTACAATTTATAAAAGAACACGCATTTATTTTCTAAAATAAAACTTTTTTTTTGGTGTAATGATAAAAATGTAATGATTTCTGAAACCATATATAGAAACACTCAAAAGAATGTAAGTAAATGAATGAAGCAATATAAGTGTCCAAATAAGCAGTACCTGTCTTTAATCATACTTTTTTCAATTTACCAAAAGATTCTTTTGAAGGTAAATCAATAAATGAAGCAATGCAACTGTCCAAATATGAAGTACCAGTTCTTAATCATTTTTTTTCACATAATAAGATTCTGTAAATCCTTTGATTTATTAAACACGTAAAGGTGTCGTCATATGCGCCACTTATCAATCAAAATCTGATTATTTTATGCAGTGACACTTCAATGTCGTCAACTGCTTAACAAGACCCATTTCGTTGCCAATGGGAACGCAAATCAAGGTAGGTATTGTATCCAGGTGGATTGGAAACAAATGGACAATAAATTACGATTGCAAAGAAAAACCGAATAAAAATTATCGTCGTCCCACACATGCAGAAACTCTTTGTACCTGTACGTACGTACATACACAGTAACCACAAAGGAACTTACGCCGAGGCGAAATTGCTCAACGCCTTTATGTTAAACACGTATAGACAACAATCTGAACGGTCTGGAATAAAGTGAACGTGCGAAACACCTAATGCCATTAGGAACGTTAATGGTGCTCTATTTTTTTGTATTCAAAATTTCTGCCTCTTGTGCAAGACATGAGATTTCCTGGGATTGGCGCCGGTTTCGGCTCATTGAAGGTAATTCCAGCACCGCAAAATTGATCAAATAATCTATATTTGTATTGTTCGCAAAGAAAATAGGTTACGCAATTTCGTTATAATATCAAAGATTTTTTTCTTTATTTTCAGTTTTAAAACTATAGAAATCGATTGATTTTGCTGTTTGTTGTGGTTCATATTGAGATTGTTCTTAAAGAAAAGAAGTTACGTAATTTCGTTATAATATCAAAGATTTTTTAAATTTATTTTCAATTCCACAGAAAAAGATTGATTTTGCTGTTGGTTGTGGTTAATATTGGAATTGTTCTAAAGGAAAAGAAATTTCGTTATAATATCAAAGATTTGCTGTACTTATTTTTAATTTTATTTGCATAAAAGTCGATTGATTTTGTTGCTTGTTGTGATCCATTTTGATATTGTTCTTAAGGAAAAGAAGTTACGTAATTTCGTTATAATATAAACAATTTATTTGATATTTTTTCTACAAAACTTATGGAATTGAAGTCGTTTGATTTTGCTGTTTGTTGCATAATTCAGTCCATATTTGCATAGTTCTCAAGTGAAAAGGTTACGTGATTTCGTTAAAATATCAAAGACGTTTCTTTTATTTTCGAAAATTTATTGAAGTGATTTTGCTGTTTGTTGCGTGATTCGTTCCATATTTGCATTGTTCCCAAGGAAAATATGTTACGTAATTTACAATATCAAAGATATTTTGTTTCCTTTTTCTTTTCGAGTGTGTATGGAGTTGAAATCGATTGATTTTGCCGTTTGTTGCGTAATAAATGTGGGTAAGGAGGAATGTCCATCCGGCCAATGCGATCGAACATCGGGTCAGGACTCTCTTTCTCTCGCTTTACTTTCACTTGCACTTTCTTCTCTTGCATGCAGAACGCGTCTCTCGGAACGACACCCAAAGCAAACCTCGACTAACAAAATTCGTTTGGAACTTGCCACCGCTTCATTAATAATTAGACCCATAACCGAATTTGGAGATCCAATGAAAGTTTCATCATATACTACTGACAGTTTTTGTTTTCAACTCATCGCATCATTAATTATTTACTTAGACTTGCTTGAAAGCTAATTTATTAATGGAAATTACAATTTTGCATTCCTCATATTGACTTTGTTCATAACGTAATGCAGGAGGAAATGCGCAAAATACTTTCTAATTAACTTGAATTATGCTGTTTATCATATGTCACCAAAGAAAGTTCAACAACAACAAATTTAAATTGTCAAATTGAAAATCTTCATTTTTATAAATCATTAATTGATTTCATTTTTATACGTAAATAAATAAATTTTCTTTCATCGCCAATGAAAATTCAATAGAAAATTTCAATAAAACCATGAGAATAGAGTTTTTTTTATAATATAATAATAAAATGAATATATATAGAATAAAATGTTGTATATATAGAAATGCCATCATTTTCTTAAAATTAACAACTTATTTTCAGTAGCAATTATCAATTTTTTCACCGATTATTCACAGAATTAAATTAGTAAACTATATTGAAATATACTAATTTAGTTAACATTCACTTGCTGATTAATAATAGTGAATAAACAAAGATTAAATACAAAAAAAAGCTATAATTCAATAAAATCCAATGGAGACATTAAAGTTCTTGTATTAACAGTAATTATCGTTTCATTCGATACATTCATTATTCATGCAATTCAAATGGCAAACCTGAGATTTAATTAGCTGTATTATAATTTTATCATTTCATAAAATAATTGATATTCAGCCAATCAAGTATTTTTATAAACAAGTTTTTTTTTTTACAAATACTGACTGTGATTAAATTTCTATAAAAAAGGGTATAACAAGTTTTTTTTTAAGTAAATTATCTTTAAATAACAGAAACAAAGTAAAACCATTTTTTTATGAAATCAAAGAAATTGGATTTCTATTTCGGTCTGCAATTTGCGAAAAAAGGAACAGCAACAACAACAACAAAAAACTAATAAACGTGTCACGTCGCTTTCGTTTTCTAATTGACATGCTGCCATTGCGGCCCGAATAAATGAAAATAAAATGTAACGAGAAAACGTCACGTTACGGCCATATAGAAACTATGAAATTTTGTCCACAATTAACGCAACGTAAATCCCCGTCAAAGGCCTAGAAATCGCAGTTACGCAACAACGTCATTCAGCGCTCCGCGATTTTCACGCATCTCGACGTGCGCCCAGGTTTTTATTTTATTTTCCTGAATGCAATTTAAGATACAATTTCACTTTTAATTTAGCTTTATTTCTCTTTCAAGCCGCAGCTGTTCATGCAATAAACGCAGATCTTTATTAGAACTTCAAGTAAAGAAAACAAAAAACAAACGTAAATCTTTGATGTTATAGTAATATTATTACATGCTTTATAGAAAATCAAATGATACAGGAAATACATCTTTCATGTTATAATGCGCTTTCTCGAAAATCAAGTTAAATGGATGAAACTGTATGCATAATTTCAACGATTTTGTCAATCAAATACAAATCGTTGAGTTTTATAAAATGCTTTCACGAAAATCAAATGAAATTGAAGAAAAAGTATGGATAATTGCATGTAATTTTTCTAATAATTGAAAAATGTAATGAATTAGTGGGTAAATAACGGAAAGAAAACTAACATAAATCTTTGGTTTCGTATTGTGCTTTCACATTATTGACTTTAATTTAGATATTAATAATTTTGATTGATATTTATCATCAATTAGTGCGTAAATAATGAAAAGCAAACATAAATATTTGATGTTATGATTTTATAATGCGTTTGTTTTTTGAAAATATAAAGAAAATGAAGAAAATGTATGGATAATTGCGTAAAATTTAATTAATAATAATAATTTTTGAAAGATATATGCTTATCACGCTATTTTCGAAAACTTGAAGCAATTAGTGTGTAAACAATGGGAATCTGAATATCCTTTTCACCATTACACCGTTTCCTGTGCAATTACAATAACGAGACTCGTACGAAGGATAAACTGCAGGAATTATTTTCCAATTACTTGCGACAGTTTAATTAATAAATTAAATGTATTTAGACGACGTTGCAAATTTGAGTTGAAATCGTTTCGTTGGAAAATGCGACGGTTTAATTAATGAATTAAATATATTTAGATAATGTTAAAAGTTGCAAAGTTGACTTGAAATAGTTTCAATTGTAAAAGCAACGGTTTAATCAATGAATTGAATGTATTTAGATGACGTTAAGAATTGTAAAGTTAAGTTGAAATCTTTAAGGAAAGAAAATGCGGTTTCGCTTTTAACCGCTGCGATAAAACGTAAAAGGATTTGCGTGTACGTTACGCGACAGATTATTAATTGATTTATGCAATAGGTTTGTTCTTTTTACTTTTATTCTTCTGTTCGCTTTGAAGATGGGTTTTCTAGATGAGCACACAATGAGAATAATGGTCTATGTGGGTGGATGGACTACGGTGGGATTACGTAAGGTTTGAGCTACTGACCTGATCACTTTGCGGCATCGGAGCGGCGCAACTGAGGGCAACCAGGACACTAAAGACACACACGGCACTTAGATAACACTTCATATTGACTAGACTAGATTATCACTCCTGGAACAGAACAGAAACAGAAAACAATTTTCGATTAGTTGATTTGCAGAGTTCGAGATGATGATGATGGACGTTCTTTTGCTCGCGATTGACTGGTTTAGAACTCGACTCTACCAATTTCAAAACGCTTCCTTTTTTTCTCGTTTTGCAGGATTAGGTAATCTGCTTTTGCAGCCTTTCTGTTTCTGCAACGGATTTACGTGGCTATTCTTTATAGCATATCTGCAGCGAGACTTCGTAACGACTTCATCGTTCTTTCAAACTTGTTTTACCACCATTCATGAGAGTTTTATGTAACGAACATGTCCATTACTCAAAACAGTTAATAACATTTTTTTAACCTACATTCTATAATTCAAATAAAATGTCAAAGTTGTAAATATACAGCTGTCATTTGTACACATCCAAAAACTAAATGAATGGATTATGATACAAAACTTAATTAACCTACATACTGTAATTAAATAACGAAAAGTCAACGTTCTAGTTAATCAGTTTACTTTGATTCAAATTCTCTAATTACAGTTAACTTTATTAAAATTTAATTGATTTTCCAAAACTAAATCTACTTATTAAATGACAATCTTTAATAATTTCAATCAATCAATTTTAAACAATCACTGAAAAGTATCTAATAAATCGGCAAATACGAATTATGTTAATAATATCCAAAGCAGAAATAGGAAACGAGTTTCTTGTACTCCACATAATCACTAATGCAACAACAAGAACAAAAAAAAACAAAACAAAAAAACAACTACATACTGAGCAGACATATCAAGTTGCGTAATATCACAGCGAGTGGAACGAATGCTCTGGCTTGTTTCTCGTTTTTATTTTTTTGTGCTCACACGATTTCAATTTCTAATGCACTTATGGAAATGCATTATCATCGTTAAAAATTGAATCGGATTGGGAAATGATATGCAAATTTCCTTACGGTCCACCGCGAATGCATTGAAGAAATTTACAATTCACCACGGACACGTGCATTCAGTTTATTAATTCTAATAATCGACTATAATTTTCGTTTGCGATTACCATGAATTCGCTCAATTATCGTTTTCTTGACATATTAATGCATGTATTATGTTACGCTCTCTGTAATATAATCATCGCTCCAAGGAATATTACTTTGTACAATTGTAAATGTAAAGTTACGATCTGGAATATTTATTCAGTTTTAATTGGGTTTAGTGTGTTTCTTATTATGTAAAGAAATTAAATAAATTAATAGATAAAAAAAATTACAAATGTATTGCGTTTAATTGAATCTTCTCAAGTTATTATTAAGTAATATTCTTTTAAATGTGAGTATTTTAAGATATTTTTTTGTTTATAAATATATTTGTGGTAGTTTTCATAAAAATGCTATTGTCATGTTCTGTTGATTTTTATGAATTTATATTACATAATTAAAGTGTAATAGTTTTGATGTAATTTATAAGCTAGTGTTGAATGTATAAAATTAGTCTTGTAAAGCATTTAGTAAAGTGACAGATATTTGAAAAACATGATTAATTAGAATGTAAATGATTCGCATAATTCAATAATTAACAGTGTTTGGAGATTACATGTTAATACGAAAAGTTCTTTATGAATTGAATAATTGAACCGCAAATTATGTTTGTCATGACAAGACAATGGATTTGATATTAACAACGATAACGAATTGCAGTTCAAAACCGCACATATGTAAATAAGTGTTCGAGGTAATTAATAACAGTTTCTTTCTTTTTCTTTGCGTTGCAGAAGAAATAAAGAATGAAAGATAGAGATAGAAGTAGTAATTTTATTGGATTTGTATATAAATCACAAAGAGAGCCGCACGCCATGCCTATAAATACTTCTAAACAGTACAGGATAATGGTGTGCATTTGTATCGAGTACAATCACTTTTGCGGTGGTGGAAAATGCGACCACTCTGATTCGGTGCACGAACAAAACAATCGCCACAATTCTAGAATGACACCGTCTGTCAAGGCTGGAGATATGTATCAATTATATCCACTCATAAATATTCCCTGTGTGACATTTTACAAATGCTCCGAGCACGTTCCAACTCGCATAAATCTAATTAAAAACGAATCACAATTCTCTTCTCCGATTTCCGTCTTTCATCACTAAGATTTTTGCGTGCAATTTGGGTAGGATTTCGTAAGTCGAAACCCGAACCGTTTAGAAAGTGTGATAGATTTTATTGTCACGCCGATTATATAAATCAGTTCCAAATAAAAGCCGCAAGTTGTGAAGAAAGAAGGAACACAATCAAACGTAATTACGTAATCCATTATTTCAGCGCTACAAACTCGATCTTTTTTATGTTTTCTATAAGTACACTTTGAGGCAAGAAAATTCTAGTTCTAGTTGACTTTACGACAATCGTGTCCCACTTAAAAATAATGTTTTCTTAAGTCGTTATAAAAAATAAATAAATTTATTTATATATTAATACTTACATATTTCACAATTAAAGCAAAATAGGTTTACTTCATAGTAATAAATGATTAACTGGACAAATAATTGCTAAGGTCGTAATGGAAATTTGGTATAATTGCACAAAAAAATGTATTTTATATCTATTACGATACGAAATCTTTACTTATTTTACTTCATACTTAAATATTTAAAAACGACAGTATGAAAAACTAATAGTTTTGGAAAATTATTATTATTATTATTATCAAAAATAGGAAAAAGATGTTGTTTTCAGTACTAATTATCACTTTCATTATTAAAATTAATTTTGCTTTGTTACATAAGACATATATATTTAATAAACTACTGATGAAAAAGTTTGTAGTTTTAAATATTCGAATTATACGTTTATTTTAGTTTTATATTTAAGTTTATTGGAAAAACTAATTGTAATAATTGTATGAAAAACTAAAGAAATTAAAGATTGATTATTAATAATGAATAATGTAGAATTAACTCAAGTCGATTATATTAATAAATTAATCAAAATGTATCTTGAAATGGATTAGCTGCAGTCGTATTAACATATTAGATAATCTAAATTCACTTGGAAAACGATCAATCATAAATCGTGAATAAGAGTAGAAAAAAAAAATGAAAGTTCAAGTATTTCGAAACGAATCTTTCTTATTGTTACGTCTCTCGTCCGTTCGATCCGTTTGTCCCATGTATGTTATAGGAAAGAGGTGAAAGAGATACAAATTGAAGGCGCCACTTTCACTCGCATCCTCCTGCTCTCGACGCTCTTCTGTTTACGTAACGACTTTATGGATCCTCCGTTTGCAAGCAATCTTCCGCACTTCCACCGATTGTAAAACGTTTCCCATGGCGCACGTTATTTTCCGCAGCAATCCAGAAGCAAAGTGTTGTTGTTTCCGAGAAGACACAATAACGTTGATTCCGTTCGCACGCGATTCATTTTCCTTACAGAATGTATCTTCGGCCTCAACTAATTCACGCGACATTTGCATACGAAAGTAAAATCTCAATATGGGCCAGACCTTGAGAGGCTGCGGCAAAAGGACGAATTTTAATTTAATCGACGGAAATAACGAGAAACTCAAAAAAATAGCAAGGATTCTACTAATTTAATCAAATGTTGTTATAGTTGATCAGGGCCGAATATTGCGGATGTTAAAACGTCTCAATCCTAATTGGTTTTGAAGTCTTAATATAGATTTTGCAGTTAAATCGATAATCGTAAAGTGTTCACGTAATACTTGTTAATTGGAGACGTTGATTGCTCACCGGCTGCGATTTAGATTAAACAAATATGCAGTTTATATTAGATACAAGATTATTTAATAAAATAGTTCGTGAATCAATAACAGAATTTATGTTAATTGAACTTCAAAGTTATAATTAGTTAAATAACATTCATAATTTTGCATCCATTTACTAACAATTAAACATCCAATTATAATTAAAGCAATAATTCAAGTAATGAGTGAAGTAAATTGTTAAAAAGTCAGAATTCCTTTTATGCTCGAAAGCGCGCTTAAAACATCATCCGACAATGCGAACCGTGCAGAGACTTTCACCAACGAAATCGAATATCCGAATTCATTTTTAATTGCAATTTAATACCGGAGTTTCCACATTTCGCGCTAAACGACGACTAAAGCAAACGTAAATATTTGAGTGTTTATTTATTTTATTTTTCTGCACAAATTTCGTAACGCGATTTACCAAGATGTTACCTCTATTTTTTTTGTTGGTGTTATTCGTGCAATAGAAACGTTTTTTTTTAATCTGAAACCGCAATTGGGATAAGCAAGAAGGTCGACGAGTTAGGTAATTTTTCGGGAAAAACTGGCGTTGGAAATTTATTCATTAATTAAGAAACACGTTTCACTTTTACTTTTCGCATCGAAATATGCTCGTTTTCTTTTTGAGTGAGCATCGGTTTCCTCGAGACACTTCCATCGCGGAAAATCATTATTTTCATTTATTTTCTTCGTTAAAAATAGCTTTTTACACGTCCTGTTATTAAGTAATTAATGTATGGAAATAATTGGCGATCGGAAAATTCAATTAGATTTATCGCGAGGCAAAAGAAAATCGTTGTAACAATGCATTAAATGGTAATTATATGCTTTTACCGTGGAGACTTTAATGGTGCGTTAAGCGACGAACCCGAGGTTTTTTTGTTCGAAAATCAATTGAAATTTGCAAATTTTGTTACGAAATATGATTTTTACAATATAATAACATAAATATATATAATACGTAATAGAAAAATTGAATAATTTACAATACATTTTCTTAATTAAGTGTTTAAATAATTGCTTGAATAACTTTCATTGTCTCAATACTTAAATTTTTTTAATAAACATTTTTTTCTTAATTATGAGAAAACAAAATGCTGTATAAAATACCATATGTTCGGAACGAAAGTGTTGCAAGAGGCGATACTTACAATTCGCTGAATGCAATGATAATCTGCGTCGAAGTGAGTGAAAATGTTATTGATTTTAATCCTAAATAAATAATTTTGATTTACTTTTATGGGATTTGTAAATTGAAAGTAAGTTATTAAAAAACCTGGTCGATGTTAATGATGCGTTACGCTACAAACCCAATGATAGATTTTCACAGATTCTAGTCACAGAACAGTCGAGGATGGCGGGATTTTCGTGGCGTGGCGTGTGGCTTCGAAGTCGTCTTGGAACTGAATTCGGCACGCGTCGTGAATAGTGAGTTGATTGCATAAAAGATGACGTCCTTAAATTGCAAGGTTTAAGCCACACTCACACTCTCACACACACGAACGAGCCGATTATCGTTGGCATTTCGTTTGAAACATAATATAATTAAAATATGTACGGCAAGGAGGAAAAAAATACGCGCTAATGACGAAGGACGAATGCCGAAACGGTTTGGACATTGACGAAGAAGAAGAAGGGAGAAAAAGCGAAGAACAACAACAACAGTAGTCATAAACAAGTCGAGATACATAAGTGTAATGGAAGCTGATGGTGCGTGTTACGTAAGGATTACAGAGATGCTTCTTGATCAACGGTGGTTTACTTTTGTTGTTCTCGTTTGAATAGTGTAAATATGTAGAGGCGAGTCTCTCCCATAAATATTATAATATATCTTCGTGTCGGGATTTTCCTTTCACTTCGTATTCACCTATTGAATTACATATGTCTAAAGTATTTAGCAAAATTGTTCTTTAATTAACGTATATGTATAAACTAATTGGTGTAATATTAAAAATATTGCATAAAACCGTCCATTTGTAATTAACTTTTATAATTATTTTAAATTAATTATAATAAGATATCATGAAATTTGATTTCAGCAAAGGAATAAATCAATTAAACATATACGTGACATAAATAACTAAAAGAATTACTAAATTCATCATTTCGAAAACGAAAGTTTATTTCGTAATAAACAATTTAGAAATAAATAAATATTTAAATTTCATCGTTTCATCTTCGATTTATATTATTACCAAATTATGCAAATAAACTAGAAATATTGAAATATTAAATAAAATGTCTACAGAAGTCAATGAAATTTAAATTTCATAATAATCAAAAAAAATTTTTGAAATATATGATTGAAATAAAAACAGTTATGAAAGAAGATTTATTGAAATAATCAAATTTATGAACTACTGACAGAATATTGAGTATGTGAATAATATATAATAAAAGAACAGTGAGATCTTCTTTGGAGTTAATTTTATTCGGATTGAGTAAGAAAAGCATGTTGGATTTCCTTCTGCTTGGGTTGTTGGTAAACAAAGTTACCTAAACATCGGTGTTCCGCATGTGGAATTAATTAGTTACACGGTGGCCCCGTTACAGAAACGGCGGACGCAACAATATAAGAAATAAAGTAAAGATAATAACGAAAGAAAAGCGAGAACTTAATATGTAGATAATGCTGCCGGCGAGAAAACAAAGACCGTTGTCCGCGTTGCATATGAATATAATGGGAGGGCGGCAATCATTTAAATAATAATGCTGATGGTCAGATGTATGCAAAAGACAATTATAAAAAAAATGTATGTATGGTTGTTGTTCGTATTAGTGACACAGATGATTATGGGAAGAATCATCATCTTGAAGAGCTCTTCTGAAATGGTATTCCGGTATATTAACACACACGCGATGTCTTCCGCATTTTCACTCCGACCAATCCGTGTGCGGCTTATTATAATTGATTATCAGATATAAATGCAATTTGTGCAGTTAGTTGTTGGCTTCTCGTTTTGTATCGATGGTGCATGTATAAATAGCTTCCAGTCATGCAATACATATTAATATAATTAGATTTAAATTGAATAAGTTTATTAAATACACTTTCTTTGTAATACTCAACATTTCATTCATCAATTATATAAATTAATTACATATTTATTTTACGTTTTTCATTACAAAAAAGTATGAAAAATATGAGAATAAAAAAAAACTGATTAATAATTTATATTTTTTATTTTGCATTTAATTTTATTCATAATTTAAAATCAATCGTATTAAATGAACAGTGATGATTCATAAAGTTACATAGTTAACCAACTAATATAGTGAACTAAATAAATTGTAACGGAAACGTTGTTAATAATTATAAACTTTGCTTCATTGAAAGAAGGAAATGAAGTTTTTTTTTCCTAAAATGCAGCAAAACTGTTTAAAAAATATTGGAAAAGAAAAGTTACCGAAGATATTTCTTCATTAAGAAAAGAAATGCAAGTGACAATAATACAATTTGCGGTTTAAAAAGTTATTTCCTAGGTAAACATTTTTTACACCTTTCTTTATTTTATTAATTCAAATATTCTTTGAATTGAAAAATCGACATGTACATGATTTATCATCATAAGAAAATCGAATTAAGTTAAATTATTGTGAAATAATTATTGTAAACATGATATAAAAAGATCTAAATTATTTAACTAATCGATATTGTGTAATAACTGATAAAGTACACAATTATTTATGTTACTTTATATTAAAGTACTAAACCGTATGATAAAACAAATTTAAGAAATCTTCATCTCTGGAAGATGTTCAATATATTTTTTAATGATTTGCTAAAGAAATAAAGCAATACCTCTCACAGTGCGGTTACACTAATATCCCGCACTAAGCAAGGACTTTAAAACCGCATAGTCACGAGTATAATGAAAAAAATCATTCAATTAAAATTTAGTTCAATGAAAGTTTAGTGAAATTTTCAAACCATACTATAATGAATCTATACTGATCGAAGCCGCACTATGGGAGGTATTGCTGTAATTCATTAAAATTTGGATATAAACAGGTCTCAATTATTGTAACAAAACTTACTTAAAGCTTTTAAAGATTATTGTAAGATAAGTAAGAAACAACATGCGTTCTTCATATGATACAAATAAGTGTAAAATGTTCAGTAAATATAAACACTAGATGAAGTTTCTGAATTAAACAGAAGGTAGTTAAAAAAAAAACAATTGAAACTACTTTCTAACTACTTAATTTACTTTACTTAAAACACATGCACTACACGTTGTTATCATTACGTAACTAAGGGAAATTTCCATTTGACATTTTCCTATAATTGTCAAAAAGTGCGATAATTCACAGAATGTTCGCAACGAATAGATTGTACATAAATATAGGCCGTTATGAAATTATATATATATAAAAAAAAAATCTAAATCACCGCACAAATTAATTACTCAATTAATGAATTCCTAGCGAGTTATATAAGTTCGGTGGGCAGCAATTTCCCATAGTGTTCTGACCCAAATCAATTAATTACCGATCCGCTTCTGTGCCATAAGGTTATTATAATAAGAACGAAATGTTGTGCGGCCATTCACCAGTTTCTAATACGCAAACTTAAACGTAAAGAAAAAAAACACGTAAAAGAAAGATGTAAATAGTAGTAGTAGTTTTGTTGCAATCGTCAGAAACGAAAAAAGAAAAATAAGAATTTATTACAAGCTTATACGTGGTTGTCCTTGCGCAAGGACGATCGAATATGCTTAAGTGGACCAAATCCGGCCTGAAAGTATTTTTTTTTTGTAGTTGTTGTTTGTAGTCGAGGCAGCAACGAAAGTGTAAGGCGCGAACTACTCCCACCAAGTGCGACTACTTATTTCTCTTTCATGCTGTTTTTTGTTATGCTATTATGATTTGATAATCGAATGCACACTTTTACTAATATGAAGAGGGTTTCGTAATAGGCCAAATACATTATTGACAAATAAAATTTTAACAGTTTTTTTATTAGTTACTTTTATAATGCATCCAAAGACTTTAGTAATTAAATAATTGATAATTAAATAATATTTACAAAAAAAAACATTAAGATTTGCTAATTTGTAAATTTAATCTCAAGTCTATAAAACTCTAAGTATTAAGTGATTTCGTTAAAGTTATTCTAGTTTTTACAAAGTAAAATTTAATGTATACATATAAAACTATAGACCACAGTTTTTCTGCATAACTTTCATAAGATTTTATCATAAAATTACTTAAATTAATCAATAACATTTAAAAACATATCTACAATTAATATTATATACGATTTATATAAAAATTGTAATGAAAGAAATTGAAAAAGTATGTGATTTATATTGAATTTGTAATCAAAGAAAGAGATAAATTCGTGAATCGAGAAAGTCAGTTCAGATTAATCAATTAACGTCGCGAGCGGTAAAAGTCAACATTATCTTCTAATAACGAAAGAAGAAGAAAAAAAAAGTGATATCCGAAAGCCAATAGAAAACTTTCTTAATTTCTAAAATTTTCCATAACAATTTTTATTTAAGTTTCAAAACAAAAAATTCGAATTCGATCGCGTGAAACACCTCGTCTAATGTGTATCATTTGTTTCCGCGCTCATTGTCGTTCGTTAAAGTTCTTCTTTTTTTTTTGTTGTGGTTTTGAAAATATGCCATCGACTTCGATGATATTATTTATAACGTGCTGCGTTTTTTATTTTTATTTTTTTTAGTTCAGGTGAAATTTCTTTCGGTTTGGGTTCGCAATGGACGACGTGCGGCGAAAAAGAAAGTGAAACCGCGCGTTCACTGCTGCAGACGTCTACGGGACAAACAATGCCCGCCGTCCGTCCGGTCGAGTGAGAGGCGAAATTGCGGAGGAAATATTCCAAGGAAGAGATGAGTGAATCTCGTGATAAACCGAAAATAAACAGAACTCTCTTCTAACAACAGGATGAGAATATTTCAGATGGAAATGTCATGCTTGCTAAATGGATAAATGGAATGTCCAATAAATGAAATGTCTTTGCTAATAATTTTGAATTACCTTAAAGTGCTTTACTTATTACAATCAATATTATTCATTAATATTTAAGGTATATAAACTATAATTATACATGATTTATAAATGAAATATGTTGATTGATATATTTACGCTAAAAGTCGTTAAGAAATATTTACATGGATGGATGACCATTGTTGAACTGGAGCAACAATTAGTTTTATACATTCACATAAAATCGATTAATCTCTAGCCAAATATGCTATTCTTTCTCACATAATTTGCAAGTAACTAGATTCGTACTTGAGAAGTTACTTGACAAATAACGTCACAACGCGTTATTTGTCAAGTAACTTCTCAAGTATGTGATTTTATTGAGATTGATTGCAAGTTAAATAAATTATTTATAAAATAATCGTTTATTACTTTACAAATGTTTATTATTAAGAAAGGAAAGTGAAAAGAGATTGAAGATGATTTT